AGCAGTGATACAGAGCCATACAGAGCCTGAGTTATCAGAGAATATCACACAAACACGAGCTTCAGGAAGATTCAGAAAGAGGAAGAATAGGGAGAATGATGAGTTTGAGTATCATTAATATATTGAATTACTGCTTTTTAAATAGTATCTTAATAACTAATCTTTGCACGCTGACCGCTTCAGCAAGTAAGAATATAAGATATAACCAGGCGAAGTAGACATTACAACGAGTCAATGATTGCTTTTCAAGAGAAATAATGTAAGAGAAATACTCAATATTACAGCTAAAAAATGCATAAATTATGCAGTCATGAGATCGGAGCATGTTTGCACTGTTTAGCCTAGTTTGGGGGCCCATTTGGGCCCCATCTAATGGCCGTGGGCCCCTGGGCTCAGCCCATAGCCCATTATGGGCCCTAAAACCTGGCCCAAAGCCCAGCCCATTTGTGGGCTGGGTTGGGTTGGGCTTGGGCTTTCGTGGGCTCTGATGAAGTCTAATTATCGTTAGTTGTAAACATGCGTTCGAGTTTTTTTAATACAGATCTTTTATTTTGTAACAATTGTAGTATAAATAAGAAAAATCAAATGATAAATATTAAATAGATTTTTTATTTATTTAGATTTACTTTTTGTTTATAGCAAATTATGCTATTTGTAATTATATTTTTAAGATTTAAAATAATCTACAAGTCGAATCTTGAAAATATATATTTATTTAGATGTCAGAATCTTATAATACTTGTTTAATTTTTATATAGTATTATTATCAAAAAACCTTACGATCTTTCATTTTTTCTTTTTAATGTGATAAAAACTGTAAGATTTTTAAAATAATAAGAGATCTTTATACCAAATAACTTTATATTTATTTAAAAATGCTAAAATTATTCAAAGATGATATGAACTGTGATTCTAAATTGTAAAATTATAATGCAATTTTATTATAATTATAATAAAATTAATCGTGATTAATCTCGCCATTTCTGCATTGATTTTTTTATTTAATCATTCAATATCCAACTTTTTTTTTTCAATAAATCAAATTCGCATTATTTGCAATTGTAAAGATTATAATTAATTAAAATATTTATAAATCTCTTTTTTCTTTTTTTTTTCGTTCTCTTGATTATCATTTGTAAAAATATTTTTTACTAAAATATTTTATAATATTTTAATTATATATCTCTTTTTATTTCAATTCATTTTTTGAAACTGAAAATATTTTATTAGATTTTTTTTTAAAAGTTTTAAAGTTTTCAAACAATTAAATAAATTTTTACAAAACAAATTCAAATTTTTTTTTATCATGTTCATTTCTATCAGTCTACACTTTGAAAGATCTAATACACATTGAATTATCATTTTAATGAGTGTGGATTTTATATAATATATATTCAAATATAAAAGATTTTCGAAAGTAATTTGTCAAATGATAGTTCACAATTGAATATAATAAACAATGTGAAAAATAAGTAAACATGCATTAAAATGATAAAAAGAAAGCAATAATTTAACAAAGGTTTGAACAAATAACACATGAACAAAATAAACAATCAAAAATTATGTATAAGAAATGTAAAACAATATTTGTACATTTAATTACAAAACATGTTGAAATATTTTTTTAATATCATTTTGTCAAAGAAGATTGTCGAGTATAAAAAGTAATTAAAAAAGAAGTAAATTAAATGTTATAAAAAACAATATGTTTTTATTTATAAAAAAGAATTTAATTTTATTAATATATTTTATTTTTAGTCACAACGATCCTCAATATATTTTAATAAACATTTTTTTAATCAAAAGATATTTAATCTAATAACAATTATTTGTTTTTTATTTCGAATTGTTGAATATCTAATTTTTCATGATTTTTTTTAAAATTGCACAATATGTTAAATCATAATTCGAAATTTATTTTGCATACAATATTTAACGGTTTCTTGATAAAAATATTATTGTAAGTCAATTAAATATGTTTAATAAATTTTTAATTGACAACAATTTATCAATTGCATTAAATTATTAAATATTTTTCTTTAAATATTTATGACAATTATCGGTTATTTTTTAAATTAAGATTGGAATTATTGTAAGATGTTTTTTAGATTTGAATCATTAAATGATTCACATTTTGATGTTTGTTTTAATAAAATTGTGATTAAAGTCTTTCAATAACATAATATTATAAAAAATGTTCTTTTAATCATTACTGACAATATCTCAAACAATAATATAATGATTATAAATATTTAAGAAATTAATTAATTATTTAGATTTAATAAAGATCAATTTTTTCATATGTTTTGTATTGTTTATGTTATACAATTAAATTTCAAAAAATTATTTGAAAAGATGAAAGCAAATCTGATTAATAATAAAATTAAATCAATATAAATTAACATATCGGAATAATCACAGCAATCAAAGAATTAATAATATTTAAGTATTGTAAAAATTTTTAAGAAAATAAGTAATACTAATTATCTATTTTTTTTGATTTAAAAGCTGTCATATCTTTTTTATTTTAAATTTAGTTATTAACAATTATTTATCTTTTTTTTATATAGATTTAAGATTTAACTGTTTTTATTAACATTAGTTTACAATATTAAAAAACATTTTTTGAATTGCAAATCACAAAATCAAGATTGATATTAATTTAAAATGTTTATATATAATAGAATTTTATTTTTTTAATATTTGATCAGATTTGAAAAATCCAAAAAGATATTAATTAATATTATGATATTTATTATTATATTTGATTCAAATTTAATTCAAAAAAGTGATATCAAATTGAATATCTTTTATTATTTACAAAGTTTTTCTTTGACTTTATAAGCGTGCTATCAAAAATAAAAGATATAATTATTTAATATATCTTTAATATTTATCATAAGTTATTTAATCATCTTGATCAGACTGAAAAAAGATTTAAATACAAATCTGTTTTTTGAAAAAAAATGTATTTATAACAATTTAGATTGTCAATGCAAAGCTTTAAAAATATTACATTAAAATTAATGAACAATTTTATGATTCAATTTATGTTATTGTAATTATTTTAATATTATCAAAAAAGTTTCATTAGTTTGATAATGTAAACTAAAAAAACTATAATGATCATAAAAAATCAATTGATTTCATGAAACATTATCAAAATATTTTTTAAACAAAATTTAGATTTTATCAATAACTAAATTCAAAGAACAATAAATCATTTAATATACAAAAGATATTTTAATCAATAAAAAACAAACTTGAAAAAATATGTAATTCACAGACTGCTTTTTATATTGAAATTAATCAATCAAAAAATGAAATTGTTTAATATTTTGCGAAAAATTAATATTATTTAATTCTTATTTTAAATTCTATTATATTTTTATTAATTATTAAATAAGTCTTATTAAAAATAATTTTTGAACATTTTGAAAAAAATATAAATAAAAATATCCAATTTTTGTTTGATTTACGCGCGATATTCTTTTAATATTAACAAGTAGAATTGCGATTTGCTGGCTCGCTGCCCGATTCGGCCGCCCCCTCCTTCGGGTCTAGCGCCCGTGCCGCTCGCGCCCGATCCGGGATCGCGCCCCTCCGTTTGGGGTTTAGCCCGTCCGTACCGGGTTTGGCGCCCTCCGCTAGCCCCGATCGGGATCTGCCGTCGCCCACCGCCCGTCGCGCGACGTCCGCCATCTATATAAAGCCGCGGTGCGTCGCTCAACCATCACTCTCTTCTTTCCCACGCTCTCTCCCCCCTTCCCATTTCTTTGCTTCGCCGCCGCCATTCCCCGGTCGGCTGACGCGGCCCCCTGCCAGCTGAAAATTCTGCGCCCTGGGGCACAGCCTGCTTCCCTACTCGCGGAAATTAGAAGGGGGCAGTCTGGTCATTCGAGTCACCTGGATCGTCCTTCGCTTCCTGGTCCTGTATGGCTGGATGCATTCTTCACACTGTACGCTGTGGACGGCCGCTGTTTCAACCGGTGTACACGTCACCTTCGGGCTGCTTGATAATTGGGCATCTGATTAGCAACTTTGGGCCATTGGCCACTCTTTGTCCGTTCCTGACTTCGGTTCGCGAATGCCACGCAGCATCCCAACACGGTCACTTTGCCAGTTCAGCCGACCCCCGATTGAGAGCCATAAGCGAATCACTCACCCGACCCGCTTTGGCTTACTGGCCAACCGCAAAAATGCCTCAAGCAGCTCTGGCCGCTGAGCTGAGGCATCTCAACCATCCTCGAAATTGTTGGCTTGCCTGATCGGTTTGCGTGACCGGTGGACTGCAGATTACTGCTCGTATTGAGGGATTTTTCTTGCCAATCTTTTCCCCGCTCCTTCAATTGTCAGCTGAGGGGTTTGGAAGGCTGCAACGTTACAAAATGAAGAAAGAGGCACCGCAGCCTTGTACAATGGGTACTACGAACCCGAGGCGCCCTTCGACGAGGCGGTTCGGCTAAATTCGCCCGGAACATCCCCAAGCGATCACCCAACGCAAGCAGGGAGTAGGATGAAGTAGGCAGTGGCATCGCAGTTCTCGGTCGTACGGGGCCCGCAAGCCGATATACTGCATGATTCCCAGCCAGGAATGCTCTGGCGGTGCCTGAGTGTTATAAAGGCTGGCTAACTTCCTTCCAAAATTGCTTTCTGTTACAATTTACCTCCGCTCTGTCTAACTACTTTTCTGGGAAATGAGGGTGGATCTTGATCAAATCGAATTCTACCATGGCCCAAGTCGCCAGCCGCCATTATCTACCAGTGCAAAAAAAGCGACCCCCGGTCATGCTTCATCTCAAGCTCCCCGAAACTTCCAGGATTCTTTTCCTGCTGGGTTCGGCTTCTGTCCAAGACCATTTGAGACACCTCTAGGACAGGCACAGCCACTGACCGGTGCAACTCATGAGTGGAACATATTTGACGTCGAGATCGATAATGTATATGGTGCCACTCAGCCTCCAATGACGGAAGATGTCGAACCCGCAGTGACAACAATCATGCCAGCTGCCCGTGACATTCTGGTAGATGGTGAAAGATCCACGTTGGCTTTCTCAGAGCCAGTGCTATCGAAAGTCTCCACGACACCAGATTCATGTCCTGCAGAGGCAAACCATCTTGACTGCACTCATCCTGGTATGCGAGAAAATGGCTTACCCGGTAAGTTGGGACAACATTCGATGGAAGCTGGCCATCAACGTTTCACTATCTGACTTTACCTTTGCAGACGCGGTTCCTGATACAAAGGAAATGGAGACTTCCCGACTCTCCTGCGTGCCCTGTGTGACCGCGCCAACACCCGCACCCGAACAGGCGAATAATGCCCTTAGCAACCAATCTGCAGTGGGCAATTCCGAACAAGAATCAGCCAAGCGGAAATTGCCTATCACAGGCCCCTGCTCCTATGGCAGTATGCACCCTGGCGACTGTGAAAAGGATACTGAGCCCAGTCAGACATCTGACCTAGGTGAAGATCCATGCCCCCGGGCAAACGATGCTCCGGAGCCAGCTAGAGTTTCCGGCACTGCTGAAGACAAGTCAGGCCCACCTGGCTCGTCCCCTCCGCCGACCGTGTACTCTACTCCCGAATGTTCTGGTGCTCGAACGACGCCGAGTTCCGATAGCCTGGCGCGCTATCCGTCAATAGCTGTGGTTATACCGCCACCATCATGGAAGCGAGGAGCCATCCGGACAAGCACAAGGGCCGCTGCGGCGGTGTGCAAAAAGCGACTTCGCTCAGCCCGAGACACCGACAGCCACCAAGATCGGAATGCAACCTTCTATGACACAGAACGACCAGGTCAGAAGAAGAAGAAGCGGAGAACTTCAACCAGGCCTCTTTCTGATCCTCCGGGCTCTTCCATTCCCGTTCCATGCCATTGTTCTGGTGCTATCCAGGGTGTCCGCGGGAGTGCTCTCCTCACGGTCGAATCTAATTCCGGTCTGAAACCAGCATATTACTTTACTTTCGTACCCGACCCTGGACCGATGCCGTCTCGGCCCCATACGGCGGATATTTCAGGGAAACAAAAGCCATACACGTCGGACGAGAATGCGCTGCTGGTGCGGTTGAAGGAAAGAGAGGCAATGTCATGGTCTGAGATTACCGCTTACTTCCCAGGCCGTAATATGTCATCCCTTCAAGTCCACTATTCTACCCAATTACGCCACAAGGCCAGCTCTCGGTCTGGAAAATCAAGGAGACGCGAATGAGAGGGGCTATGCTGTCGGGATATTTCTTGGTTCGCGCCTGTCGATCCTTCGCTGTATACAACATCCTCCGTAGCCATCTGTTTCAATACAAGCATTAAGGACAGCTTTGTGTACTCTGTAAATAACACCCAGCATGTTCACACATATTTTTGTCTGATCACGTTAAATGTCTATGTCGCTCTGTCTTCAGGCCTTCATCTGAGGCTCTCTGGGCTTTCAGGTAGCCGCATAACCCTTAGTCAGGGCGGAAAATTATACATCCGTTAATATTGGCCTCTGGCAGGTGAACAGTTGTCCTTGAATCCGGCCGGTTCCTTGCTTGCCAATTCGCAGTTATATTTCACCTCACTTCAAATTTAGTTTTTGGACATATGAACTTACCTGGGTTAAACTCGAATAAGCCGCCCTTTGTCCTTATACGCCTAGCGCACACGAACATCTCAGGTGTATTGGCTGTTTAAAAATTGATGTTGCCGAATTCATGAAAAAATTTCCGTAGACCTGCCCAACGAGGGATCATTTATTCTTGGTTGACTGATAATAGAGTTCTTTTTGGGGCACTTTTGAAATCCCACGGTGTACTGATTATACACTGCACGTGTTTTTGCTTTAAAATGTGCGTCACACGACTATTAAGATACGCGCAACCTACTGCTTCTTTCAAGTCGGCATCTCGGCGCAATCAGAGAGATTTGGGGAGCATGCGGGTGTAAGAGCGGTGTCACTATTCAACGGCAGAACCACCCATTAGTCATCTTTTTTTTTAGACCGCCGGCGGATAGCCCCTCCACATAATCAATTAACCCCTCAGTCATGCGGACAGCAAATTCCAGGTCTTTCTCCCAGGATGTATTGATACCCAATTCTTTCTTTATTTTATACCTGAAATATCCCACGATTCCTACAGAGTCTCCCGCTCTAAACATCGATAAATTGGTAATCCTTGTGAAAAGGAACTTTAATGTGAGTAACCAGTTCCGTCTGCCCAAATGGTATATATCGTTATTTGCAGCAAAGACATCTGATATCTGACCTTACCGTCTGAAGTGTTCAGTGTAACAACTAGGATTATTCTCGGATAGAACCACATTAATCGCGAGCTGCTTTAAACGTGACGCCGAAGTTGGACATTTGTTATTTTGGCCATGCCAGAAGAGGTGCGTCGGTGGGCTTTGTTAAATGGCGGCTTGTTATAACTGGATTTTTCCTTTAGGTGGGAGACAAAGCCTTGAGGGGAGACCTGGAAGAGATTAAAACGAAACTGTTTGATGAAGTGCAACATCCCAGGACAATAAGAGGCAAAGGAAAATTGATCCAAATATATGATCCGCGGGCAGATATGGGGTCTGCAGCATACTGGGAATGGGAAAAAGAAAATGAATTTGCAGAACATGATGTACCCCCAGGGTATAAAGTCCGTGTTGTTGGAGGCACGATAGCATTCATCTAGGAACAAGTTGGAGTTTCTCGATCAACTTCGTTCCCTTCTCAAATCCAACTAACAAGGTCAAAGAGATATCGAGGTTTCGATCTTTTGGTGCTAGCGCATTCACACAGTCTGTTACTCCATCCTCACCAACCATACGCTCCCAAAGCCACTGCCTGCTACTCTTCACGGCATCAGCAAGATCGTTACCTAACAGCGAGATTGACTTGACTCGTGCTTCTGAGAATCTGTACTCAATTTCTGTACTAAATTAGATTCAAAATTCCGTTCAGGTAAATATATTCCCAACAACTTACGTCTGTGCTGCAGATTCGGAGCTATGTCCGCGGAAGAGGTCGCAACGTCAAGGGTTCTTTTATCTTCTATTACGTCTTTCTCGATGCGTTTGTGCGGAAACTGACTTTCTCCACTGGTGATATCTGCTACAGATGTTTCAAAGCTTTAGTATATCTTGCACTCGTTTTGATAAAGTATCACCAACCTTGAGACAGAGGCCGTTTGCCTTGTTGTTGATTGGCTACATTGTGTACCCCAGCAGAAGACAGCTCTGTAATGCGGTGTCAGATACGAATCTAAAGTAGAAACGAATAGGCATACCGTTGTAATCGGGGACGCCATACTGAGTAGCAAGGTCATCCAAGATGCGACACTCGAACAAAGATTTGTTCGCCTTAAGGTAGCCCAACACCTCAACACGCGAGTTTTTGTTCATAGTCCTCACCTTTTCCTTCCCTAATGTTGCAGCACACAACACAAAGAGCCCACGATTTTGGAGGCGCAGGATGTCGATGAAGAACTGTTGGTAACGTCTGAATCCAGCATTTGGGTGGGGAGGGCTTTTTATTGTCTCGATCGCGTTCAATATTTGTCCTGAGTTGTCAACCCTTTCCAGTGAATATATCTTATCTAAACTGCTGTTTAATGTTTTAATAAATTTGACGAGAGTTTCAGAGTGTGTCGTAACTTGGCGTTTTCTTTTCTCTGTTTCTAGGGAAATCAGGGTAGCGTGTGTGAGTTCGAGTAAAACCATAAGATCCATATCAGACACATTTTCGTAACCGTGCTGATAAGAAAATATGCCATTCGAAGTGGTTTGTAAAAATACGCGAGGAGCCTCCATGGATAAGTATCAAACAAAGAACTTTTCAGATGAAGGTATGACTATGGACAAGAGCGTGGGTCGCAGTTGTAGGAGGTTGGAGGAAGTTGGAAGTAGTTGGCGGAAGTTGGAGGAAGTTGGAGGAAGTTGGGAGTACTGATAACTAAATAAGCAACTTCGACACCACCTGCCGCCAACTATTGCCAACTATTGCCAACTACTGCCAACTAATAGGCATGCCACCTTGTTGGTACGTTGCGCGACTTGATAGGTCGGCCATAAGTAATTACATAATCACAATTCTAGTTGAGAATGGTACATAGCAACTCTCTGCTGTCACTTCAGACACTTAGAACATCCGCTCACGCGATACTACCTACCTTTGACTCTCTACTATTTAAATCCTACACACATTGTCCTCCTCACTCGGGTTTCACTCATCAATCATTTTGCCAGCATGCCTGCCGCTACGGAAAGAGATACAGAGCACAATGTCCCCCCTCCACCACCTCCAGCTGAGGATCCCTGCTCTAAAATCTCTCCCTTCGTTTTGAAGCTAAGAAGCGCTCCTCCGAACTATTTTTACCAGCCACCGAAACCGTCACCGACAGTTGATTTGCTCACTGCACCTACTGGGCCATACTTCTTTTATGGGACTTTGACCGATCCATCCATGATTGCGGAAATTCTCAATCTAGCCAGGGAGCCTGAACTTCGTCCAGCGTTTATTCTAGGTTACGAGTGCAAAATGTGGGGCCAGTACCCCGCCTTAGTTGACGCCCCAGGCTCGATAGTTGAGGGCTATGTGTACATTGTCGAAACAGCCGAGGACGGCAAGAAACTCGCCGCCTACGAAACAAGTAGCTACAGCACCGAGTCTTGTCTTATCAGATACACGGACAAACAAGAGCCCTCTCAAGATCTTGGGCACACGTTCAAGTTTATCGGGAATCCACGCGATTTAAGCGAAGGCACTTTCGACTTGAGGTCCTGGCTGAAAATGATGGGGAGATAGACAGCCGTGGATAAGTTGGACGCTAAGAAGCGTATTTTGTAAATTGTTAATTACGATTCTTTTTCGCTTTCTTGCCTGTAATCATTATGTGATCAATCGTGTTTTAGTAGAATGAGAGCATATTAGTTATATCACTGGGCCAGATCATTATCTGCGGTATCTTCCAGGCCCTGTTCCCAATGCCAATTTTCTAACCCACTCCTCCAACCTCTTTGGGGTCCAGATTGATCCTGAAATGCGGCGTGAAAGCCTCGGACCTGGTATGGAGCATCTTTGAGGCCACTCGCTGGATACCACGTCTTGTCAGGGTCGCATCCTTTCCGACGTATTTAATATTGAAGCTTTCCGCGGAAGATTCGTGAGGCTACTACATCCTCTACCTCCCATTCTTTGTCAGATGCGTCGCACACCTGGCGTGGACTACTGATGACAGCCTTGGAGTCGTGCATGCAGCGAGGTAGCACAGCCTCGAATAACCATGAGACAAATTGCAAACGCATGTCGAACGACGTCGACAGGAAGTGCAGAGGGACGTATATTTGTACGTCTTCTCGCGTGTAGCATTCGCAGTTGACGTCTTCTTGGCATGGCGCCCTCTTGGTTTTCTTGATTTAATCAACTGGGCCGGTTTCTGGTCTAGTCCTTAAGTCTGGTAGGAAACCAAATCTGCCACTCTGAAGTTTCCCACTCCCCAGTTCAGGGCCGTGTCTAGGTCACGCAAGGACAGCTATATTCGATGAAGGCTCTACTACGTTCGTTTGATTTCATTCCGCCCCCGTTGCGCGATGACGTGTCGGCTTTCGTCCAAAGACAGCACCTCCCACCCGACCCGGGTGACTACCTCCACTGTCTCTACCAAGTTCGGCGGTCTCATTTAGAGCACGAAGGCCAATGGTAGTCCATTTACTTCCAGCCGCCCCGACATTGCGGTTGTTCGTTCTCAGCCTATGTCGATCCATGCATCTTTCGAGCACGCTATCTGGCCGGGCTATGCCTCATATCCCAAGATGAGGCAGGGCAAAGTGATGGGTGATTTTCGCCATTGGTCGCCCATGCCAGTTGAGGTAGGTAGTGTCTTAGTGTCGTAGTGCCACCACATCGGCGAAGGGCGGTCGAGCCCAGGGCCAGTGGATAATCGACGCAGATTCTAAGCACATTGACATGATGGCGGTGCAGCACTTCAAGATCCAGGCAGTCCAATTGTAGCCCACAACCTGCGAGATCAGCGTGGTCGGGACTAAAATGGGGGCTAAAACGGAGGTGCAGGACCGGCGACCGACGGAAAGAGGGGGAGAGGAGAGGTAGGCATCATACGGGACGCGTAATCAGACCTGGTTGGAGCCTGCTGGGGGTTTAGACGGTCAGCCTCTTGAATGAAGACAGTCGAAAGTGTAGATACTGTAAAGACCAGACGGCAACGCGATGCCTCAGAGAAACGAATATCCTAGCGGTAGCGGCCGGTGGAACAAAACAAATAAAATATGAACAATTCCACTAGAAAAGACGGAGGGAAAAAAGAGCAGAAAGTTCAGCTGAAGAGCCGGTCAAAAATAACGGGAATCTGGAAGTGGAGGCGACGAGAAACGGGCGCTGCCGCGATTTCCGATGCAAAAAACAAAGGGAGCGAAGGACGCAAACATCTTTGGCGTAAACGGGACCAGGGGTCGCAATCGCGTGGGTGTAGAATATGGGAGGGGGAAAAGAAGGAAGAAGGAATTGGGGAGAGAGAAAGCCGGAACAGCGAGGACGGCTCTTTTGTACTGGGAGGGGCGCGCGGGCGATGATGACAATACAGCGTATCGGGCGGCCATCCCGAACAAGGCAAAAACTAACCGCAAGCGGCAATTCACAAGTCCGCCGTCTACGAGTGATATAACGGAAACTCTGAACTGAAGTGTTTTGACTAGCCTACTAGATACTAGTCTTCCGATAGATAATACGGGCGGTTCGGATGACGTTTTCTTCGTGTTTCTCCTAAATAAGAAGCTATTCTTACATACCCGCAAAGATTTTGGCATAATTTATCTGCTCTTGCTTTTCTTATCAAACAGTGGAGTATCCATGTTGTTGGTAGACCAAGTCACGTTATACGAGTAGACATAGACAGCAAAAATATCGATAGGAGCAAAATGAGATATACAGATAAACAACCCCCCAAAAACTTGGTGACAAAAGCTAGCTCCAGTATGGTTCTTGGAGCATCTTTGCTCTAGCAACGTTCTTCTTCTTATCTTCGTCTTTCTTTTTCTTGAGCTTGTTGAGACGATCGTCTGACAGATTCCCGAGAGGCTTTGGCTCACGAAGGGCACCGTCGCTCTTGCCAGAAAAGAAGTGGTTGAGATACCTAGAGTCATATAATCCCGGGATGTTTTCTGGAAGTTTGGCAGCCCTAATAAACCACTTGAGGCCACCAACTGTCGCGGGGGTCTTCTCAAGTTTCTGAGGGTCGCCTAGACGAATCGCGGCTTCTATAAACGACATTGCCACTTCTATGCAGACAAAAACGCTTTGCGCAGACGTACTTGCAGCACCCCTCCGAAACTCTATAGTCCCGTTAGGGCTCTCCAAGAGATAGAGGAAATTCCAGCCAAACATTTTGTCGTGGTTTGGATTCATGAGAAGGACCAGCGCCCTCATGTTGGGAGCTTGTTCTATGGCTGCAATACTCTGCTTTCGTGATAGACCGCGATGTCCAAAATTTTCATTATCCAACCAATTGCTTCGCGCATACTCGTTGGACAGTCTTGACTCCGGTAGAAGTGCCTCGAACGCGGGCTCAAAATGTATAATGCTCTGGCAAATTTTCTTCAGGTCGGTGAGCTCATAACCTCCAATCCTCGAGAGATGAACGTGTGTGCCACAGCTACTATTTGCGCTAATATAGTAGTTTGCCGTCATAAATCTCCACATAAAGTCAATGTGCTGGCGCCATATTGAGTTTTTGTGAGCACGGAAAATCGGCGAAATGCATTCTAGACCCCCTTTGTAGTGAACAGTTAGTGACGCAAACAATAGAATAGAGATATTCGTGTGAGTAGCATACATGGCACATCGCCTTTGTTTGGCATATCAATTGTTGAATCCGAATCAAGAGACCATTCTGCAAATCGTGGACCGAGATATGATTCGTCAATTGCATTATGCATGCGCGGGTGTTTCTCTGGTTCAAATTGAGCCAGAAATCTGTTGTAAGAAGATGCAACCGATCTGGAAAAATTGCGAATATTGTCACTGGTTTCTGACTTGTCACGAGGATCCAACAGGAATTCAACTTCTACGCCAATCCCAAAGCTTCCAGCAGGGTATTTAGAAAAATCAGTCGGGAGTGCCGCCCTCCGGACTAAATACGTTAGCAATGGCTGGTTATTTGTTTTTAGTTAAACGGTCGACACACCTGTGGTTGGTTGGGGGGGCGGTGGAGGGGGCGGAGGGTCGTTGCGCGTCATCCTGTATGGGTATGAAGATAATGCTTGTGCCAATAAGTCCAGCTTAACCCCAATGTTATAACTAGCAGAACAGGGCACAAAGAAATAGAGAAGAAAAATGAAAAACCGAAGGGAAAACTGTGAATGTGATATGAATTCAGAATATAACTGAGAGTAAGTGACAATTTTGATGTTTCGAAAATGGAAGCGCCTGCTTTATAGCCTGACAATGCCACGGTGACTATCCGTTTCCAGATGCTGACCTAAAGTCACGCTTATGCAAATAAGGATATTCAGCACTAAACAAATTCACTGTGTTGCATTCGTGTCTTTGCATTAGGGCATGAAGGGGAAGAGCTGAGACATGAGTCATAAAGAAGTGATGCCTACCCTGTGACAATTCAGGCGCCGAGGGGTGACCCTAAGAATAAACCAGGAGACCTTTACCCAGTGAAACAGCGACTGCAGCCAGCTACCAACTCCCACTAACTTCAGTGCCCAGCGACTATCACCAAACTACTAATGCATCAACTCTCATCAACTACCGCCAACTACCGCCAACTACCACCAACTACCACCAACTACCACCAACTACCACCAACTACCACCAACTACCACCAACTACCACCAACTACCACCAACTACCACCAACTTCAGTGTCCAGCGACTATCACCAAACTACTAATGCATCAACTCTCACCAACTACTGCCAACTACCGCCAACTACCACCAACTACCACCAACTACCACCAACTACCACCAACTACCACCAACTTCAGTGTCCAGCGACTATCACCAAACTACTAATGCATCAACTCTCACCAAACTACTAATGCATCAACTCTCACCAACTACTGCCAACTAGTGCCAACTATCACCAACCACCGTCAATTACCGCTCGAATTGCAAGATCAGGAATACCCAAGCGCATTTTATTTAATAAGAAAGCAAGAATGTCAGTTCAGCCTCGTCTTCTGTTCTCACCGCAATTTGAGAAAAAACCAATCCATCATCTCTGCTGTTTCCATCCATAGCAATTCTCCTCGATCCAACATGTCCTGCATGACGAGCCTTGTCAGATCCTTGAAAGCCTTCATTTCCACCTCAGACAACGCAAGACCAACAGCTCTCGAGGCAACCAAAGAGATTATTACGAAATACGAAAGTGTTCCACCGATGTCCAAAACAGGCCAGCCAATAGAACGGCCAATTGATGTCATCGAAGCCGAGAAAAGATTTGGAATATCCTTTTTCACAGGATTTTCTCGTATCATTACTCGGCATGAACAATACCATATGGTGCTCGAAGCTCGTTTCCAGGGTTATCCCCACGAGACCCATTACGTGGCATGCCCGAAAAGCGTTCGCAACTCGGATCTTTCCGGGGAAGATCAAAAACTTCTTGAAGACAAACTCCATGGTGTTAAAGGACGTATACCAAAACCAGTCTGGGACGAACTCAAGCAACTGTACGGTATTGTCAAAAAAGACTGGCTTGTGAAGGACTAAAAAGAATAAGACACTTGAGTTTTAGTTATTGGCGTGTGGCGGGGACTGGAAGATTTTGATCTGTCTTGAACGGCGATGTAAATAATGTGGAAGCCACGAGCTGAAATTATAGTTTCATTCTTATACCTGGTGCTGTCTATGTATCTAGTACGTGAGAATAGTCGTAAGCAATAAACGACATAAATAGCCCCAAGTATTCTGTCTACAAGTACGCACATCACAATGATCATGAACATTCTTGTTTTTGCAAGCATATTACTTGTGCTGGTGTTATTAGGACTCTTCCTCATTTTATCTCTCCTACGCCCGTTTTTCAAGGAAAGATACTTCCCAGATCTCGAATCAGCCACTTTTTCTTCCCATTTGCATACCGATTAAAGTTTGCTCCAAACGTCTTAGAGCACTATCGTCGGAAGAGCGTGTCATTCGTCAACCAGTGGTAAGGAAACCCCCTTTACCTATAAGATATAATCTAAAAGCTTATGGCATGGAGACTACAGGCATTATAGGCAAGATGTTACTGTCTACAACGGATCAGAGGGGTCGAGATGACTCGAAAAATACTTGGGTAGAACGAAGTGCTCGTATGTATCTGAGAGGATTTTGCTGTGCATGCAAAAGAGGGACTGGAGTGATCCATGGGAGCGTCTGTTGTAGTGAATGTGGTCATGAAAGATGTCCAGAGTGCTTGGAAATGATGCAGAAGAGGAGATTTCGAAAAGAGATGGGGATTGCCGGAGCTTACTGCGGTGGGAAACGTCCTCAATGAGACGCAATGCTACGCTACACTAGTGGTTTAGTAAAAGTTCTCGGTTGTAGCACTAGTTTGTTGCTGGTCTAGAACGCTCTGTATCTCTCTAATTTAATTGGGATGAGCCCTTAGTTGTATCATGGCTGATTCCACTGCGTGAAATTAATCAGCCTGCGGAGTTAATTGAATCAGGGATAGGAGCGAGATCTAGATCCTACACTCAGCTAATGGAAAATTATTTCAAACAACTTCACAGTATCTATATAAAGTGTGTTATCATACGTCTGCATTGCTGCTTGATGCATGCATGCAACCACGCTGTACAGTAAGTATTCGGTTCCTCTATTTTTCTTTCTTTCTTTTCTTTTTCTAACAATGGCAATATAGCTCATAAAATGCAATTTCTATCAACAATTTCCACTCAGGGCATTCAAACCAATATGGGTCGAGGTGCATACGATACCACAGGGGTGAAAAAGCCAGGTGCACCACCTCCGCCGCCCAAATAAAACCGGATGACTGTGATGTGAGGTGACCGGATAAAGATAAAGAAGGGAAATTCTTTTGATTATACCTGTAATTATAAGTATCAAATTGAATTATACTAAGACCAAAGAGATTCGGTTTGATTGAGCTCCCGAGATCTAGGAAGCTATAAATCCAGTATGTGGCCCGATCAGCCAATGTGTATTCCCGCGCTCATCAACGACTTTGTTCTATTATTTTGTTTTCACGGTACATCTCTGTTTCAACTTTGGATTACTTCGTCCTATTTACTTTGGATCTTTTTGCTTTACGGCCTCCTCTTTCAAACTTCGAAGTAAATATTTTATTTTTTGTTTCAAATCACCGGATAACGTAAAAAGCTTGAATAATACTCGCTACTTTGACTGACATGCTCTCTTTTCAGGATGTGTTCCTACGGTTGTGTTAAATACAGCTGCGGTTATAAGGAACCAGAGCCTCGTGTGGTTCGATGTGTCCTGGCTCTCAGTGAAAAAAGATGCTTGGAAACAACTCGACAGGATATAATACGTTTTAGCATTACTTGCGGGAAAGGATACTGCTCTGCAAGCCTACAGAATGGACAATGGCAGAAGGATTCCTGTACAAATCTATCCAAGACCACTTTGCTACCGGCGGAATAGAGAACTTACGGCTAAGTTGTCGTCGAGTCAGTCTGATTTGGTCAAAGAGGCAAAAGACCTTAGCCATGGCGCGCGAAAGCTACCAATCATACGCAACATGGGTGGAAGTGGAAATAGCAAGGCCTTTGATCGGTCAGGTTACTAGTGGTTTACAAAGGGGGCTATTACGTGGTGGGCCTGGACTTCTACAGGGTTAAACTGATACTGAGTCACTGCAAATCCCCCAAAATCTTCCTTTTCTTGTAGTAGAAATACGAGCCCAATCTAAGCCCGCTAAATAAAATTGACAAGTTCTCTAGGAAGCATTGAAAACATTTCCCCTGATGCATATCTGATCGCTCTGTTCAAGTTCAATTCGCTGCCTCTTGTTCGCATCCTAATCAGAATGGACAAGTCTAATCAGAATTCCCATACCTACAGCCATTCTCAAAAGCATGCAGATGGTATGCCTATCTAGCCCCTAATTCATTTCGCTATGTCGGGTCTGACAAAGGGAAACCCAGATATTATGCTCGAAGAAGTATCGAACGTACAAGAAAAACGCTGTACAAAAGATGAACAATGGAATCACTGGACAGAGGTGGGATAATCATCAATCCCCCTCCGTTAGTTAACTAAAATAATTTGCTGACTATTCAGAAGGGGGAAGCAAGACCGAGACACTGGATGGTTAATAATACCAGCCGAACGAAACGAGGCAACCGACTACCCTCACTGAAGACGATCCTCTATTCTCAGCCAGAATGCAGTGTTCCTGGATCAGATGTTCATCGAGTTCAAGCGCTCGCGGACAGGCCACCTTTTGTGCTCCCCGACCTTCAATTCGGCTCACGTGGTACCACCATTACGATACATGGTGAGCGACAAGTAGTACAACGCACAACAAACAAGCTTTCCAGTATGCTAGGCAGGCGTTATCAAGTCAAAATATTTGAACAACCAGCATTTTCCGATGGGAATGACTCTCTCAAATCATACTGTGATGCCGTCAGAGAATTCTCCAATGATTTAGTCCGTTTCCTTGGAACCGAGAGCTCCGGGACTGCACGTGGCCTCCCGTATCCATTCTACGTTGTACCTGTGGCCATGGTCTGCCAATACCAGATTTCCGCCAACGATTCATCTCAAGGGCAGCTGGGATGTCAACAAGACACTCCATCCCAATTCAAAGAGTCCTGGAGCTCCTATGCTGGATCCGATATCATGATATACCTTTGTGACGGTAGAATGCTTGAAATCGAGACTGAGATAGCTATCTACACTCAAGGGCTACAAAAGGTGATAGTATGCCCAACTGCACCTAATGGAAATTTGAGAGGGCCGAGTAATGTCTTTCGATTGGAGTTCAATTTGAGCTTACTTCTTAAGGAGAGGTCTGGGGTGCTTTAGCTTTCATAATATGGGTAAAAAAACAATTCTATTTTGATATGTTCTGCCAGATTAAGACGCGCATTTCTTCGTTTATCTTATCGACCTTAAAAGAAGCGCTCTGTCAAGAAAACAGTAACCGCAAATTGAATGTTCCAATATTTGGGGCAGAACTTCATAGTTCATTCTACTCGACACAAGCAAGCGATTTGTAGATAGGGATTTGGGTATGTTACCTAGTTATCGGTGTGACCTTCTGGTCAGAATCCATTACTCATAGGTGGACTAAAAATAACAGGAAAAACTTTTTTTATTACCTGAAATTAAATATATGCCAGCCCTGGTCTAGTGCTTGCATCAGAAATGACTCGGTATTCAGAGAAAAGGAGGCTGGCTCATTTGGATCTAGTCTTCGCCAGCCTTGCGTGATTTAAATTCGACTGAAAAGTCTCACAAGGAAGCAAAGTGGCATAAAGGATACAAGAACCGCTAGATCTCACAATACTAGGCTCAAAATCAAACTTCCTTTCTTCTGACTCAGGAATAAGATGTCTGATAAAATACAGTAGGTTCACCGCAGGCAGCTGCATAATAGCACTTTACTGACAGACTCCTAGGGACCTTATCAAAGCCATCCCAGGCCTAGGGCTTGAAATTTCCGATCTTTTGTCTTGTCGATTATCTGGGCCGGCAAGCTATCACATAAACGAAAATATCTTTCAATTACTTCGTCGTCAACTATCCGCGGCCTTTCTTGAAAATATCGATCCATCCAAGTTTCTCGCCGGCATCGGAATACAACTTACAATGTCGACGTTGACTATCGTTCCTACGATGGATTTCCAAAATACCTATTGTGTAATGCAGGATTTGCATCACACTATTAGGGGTACAAATATTCCCGAGCTTTCTGTTATGGGTGTTTTGGTAAAGCTGGCCGCCTATGCTGTGAAAGAACCAAATTGCGCATCAAAAGAGTCTCAAGAATTCATTAAAGTATGTTTAGCACGGCTAGTCATACCGAACAAATTCGCACAGGTCTGTACGGCGACTGAGCACATCTGGAACTATGGAAATAGACGACTGTCTGGTGCAAGCCACGAGGTGGCCTGTGGCTTAGTACTCCCGCGGCAAGTCCAGGCAGCATTCTTTCTGCAGGACCTACATCTTTTCCTTGATGAGTTGCGCACGGTCTTTTTGGTAGGCTTTCAGAATGATCAATCAAGTCTGTGCAATATACTGCTTATCCTCATGCAAGCTTTTCCAACTCTAACAGAAGAATGGTTAAGCAACGAGCCGGATCCTATACAGTTTGAACAGTCATGGCAACTCCATTCACTTTTGGGGGTACTTCATATGCTATTGGGTCACTTCCAGAAAGGAAATTCAGATTCATTTGACTCTACAATTTGTCGCGTCATGAATAATCCGAACAGTGTGTTGTACAAAATCACAACGGAGCTAGGCATAGCTGTACCCAATGGAAAGCTTCAGTGGGAAGGGCCAATCAATGCTTGTACGGTTTTTGGTCCCTATTTGGATAAACTGAGAGCGCAGTTCATGCGTTTAAAACGTCAAGCCGGTTGCGTGGGTCAGTTTCCTACACCTGTGTATTGATAATTGTGATAGTGCATACTGCGGTGGGAAACGTACATGACGAGACACAATGCTACCCTATGCTAGTAGTTTATCGAAGGTTCCCTCTTGCAGCATTGGACTATTGCTGGCCTAGAACACTCCGCAAGCATCTAGTTTGATTAGGATGAGCCCTTGGCCGTACTGTGGCTGGCTCTGCGGCATATGACTAGCCAGCCCGCGAAGTTACTTGACTCAGGGCATAGTGACTGGTTTTCGGATCAATAACTAAAACTCTGCCTTTTAATAAGCAATTATCGCAAGTACCCCCACGGTCAAGGCCGTTCGAGTAGTGGCGGCAAGGGGTCCATCATGTACGGGACTGAGAACAAAGGGGACGCGGCCTTGTATGAAGTCATCAAAGCCCGCCAGTTTCTTCAAGATTTCCTGCTTGTTTTGTTCGATTTGCGACAAGACTGTTTCCCGTAACTGGTTCAGCTGGTCGGCGATAGCCGGCATTGCACGGCAGATTTGAACCTCCTCAAGCTCCCCTTTATCCTGGTTAAGAGACTGCTCCAGCTGCCGGCGAAAGGCCTTAAAGTCGTCGCGATAGAAAATAGGGTCATTCCAGATCGGATGCGATAGAAACTTAGCCATTTGAAGGATGGAGTCCTGTAGTAAGATCGGGCGAAGTAGCTTTAGCAGTCTGAGAAAGCCCTGACCAGCGATATCACAGCGATCATCTGCTTGATCACCCAGCCCTCGTTCATACCACTCCGCCCATTCATCAACCCATGGCCAGAGCTCGTGTACGAGTGTCTCAGGGGGTTGGATTGTCGTCCTTGATAGGTAGTAGCAATCCTGGAGGCTTGGATCAAAGCCAGCCGTGGCACGAACAAATTTGCGCGGGAGGTTAGACAGGTAGCATTGGCTTAGGACATCGTTATTCCAGTGGCCTGTCTTGCGTATCTGAGCCTCGTTCACGCCCGCGCGTTCCGTCTCACGAGCTCTCTGACTCCTTTTCATATGCGTGCACTTGGACGTTGACGTCAAGCCTGCGGCACGAAAGGACCTCTTGATCCACTCTTTCTGTGTGTGGTACGCTAACGGCTTCAGACGATCAACGCCTCTTAGCATGTGGATTCCATACCATTGCTCGCGTCTGCTGAATATTGGAGTCTTCTCTCGAAGGATGTTCCATCGGAAGAAGAGATAGAAAGTCAAGTGTCCCATCGGGCAGCGTTGCACATGGCGATGGCGAGCCGCGATGCCGTACTTCAGTCGGTTCAGTTGATTTGTCTTTCCATTATTCATTATCATGAACACCATGGGGCAGAGCATGGGCCCTTCATTCTCCAGCTCCATGCCGAATAGATCGGGTAATTGAGCTGCGCGAATGTTCTCTTCTCTGAGCAGTATGGTATGGCAGAACAAGAAATCCACCGCCGTACGGAGATGCGACTTTATGGTTATCGGCAACAATCGCTTAGGATTGTCAGTCTCCCATTCCTTCCAGCAGAAGCGTACGATATTGGCCATCTGATCTGTGTTATAGCCATCCTGGAGCGTTCCAAGCGCGCGGTTCTCGAATTCTTCTTTCTTCCTAGAGGCCTTTTTAGCTAGGTTAGACTTGAGCAATACCTTTAGAGCCTCACTTCGCATAGGGGGCTCCTTAACCGGGCATGACGGACTGTTGTACTGAAAGTTTCAGAGACTCATGATAGCGGATACCTCTCCCTCCACCGTCCTTTCCGAAATGGTGGAAATAACAGAATCTTCACTATCGTCGGTACGAGCTCGCTTTTTTTTTTCGTTCCTTCGGCTGGCCGGCCGATGATTTTCGTGTCAATGTACAACAGGAGCTTGTCGTTGTTGACAAGCTTCTCATCCACAAATTGCATCTCGGAACACCATTCTTACTTGGCCTCAGAGAATTAGCGTCTCCGTAGTAGAGAAAGAGAGAATGGACAGGAAGAACCTTCCATCGCTTCTGCCCACGAACATATATTCTGGTGGTGTTATCAGGCCGAATGGCATATCCTTTTCGAAGCACCTTCTCGCTTACAGCAGCATACTGCGCGGCGTGGTTGGCAAACCGTTCATGCTAGACACGATCCATCGGATAAACAACAGGAACTAAGGCTATTATGCTATATATAACACATCCACAGTGGAATTTGCCTGCAAGAAAATTATTTTGGTCCCTCGCGTGAGCGAGGGATTGATCTGACGGCGAAGGAGTTACAGAACCCCATAGCGCGCGAGCGCCACGCGCTAGCCACTTATTGAATAGCTTGGCGATTTCTGCATAGTAACCCGGGAAATTACTGGGCCTGCGCCACCCTACGATAAGTCCAGGATGCCGGAAAGCAAAGGGCAATCTTGGCTATAAAACGCCCGTTTCCTCACCATGTATCTTTATCGATATTATGAATTTAATTTAGCACAGACTGGTCCCAGACTGCCCGCACATATCTTAATCTAAAAACATGTCGCAGGAGAAAATTAGTCCTCATGCCACAGATCAGCCCCATCTATCAGAAATACTTGTTGAAGTTGATACACTGCTTATGAGAATCGTTCGTATGGTCGGCCCTGACGATTTAAAAGGATTTTTAAATATACAGCAGGTATAAAATCAAACCCAACTCGCCTAAGTTGTCATGTGTTAATTTTATTAGTTCCATGATATGATATCTCGGCTTTGTGACAAAGCCCCTGAGACGGCGCAAGGAATCGCGGATGCGATTCAAAAGAGGCTCGATTCTCAAAGGCAGATCACCGGGATGAATACCCGTCCACCTACATGGAAACGGAGGCGAAACCAGGATGCCCCCTACCATCCATCCAAGTCTTACAAGACAAGAACCAACCGCTTGTTGAGGTATGAATTATTTTATTAGTTTTAAATTCGAGTAAAGAGAATTAATGAAAGCTGCTAGATCCGATAAAGAAACTGAAAATCAGGGCTATATCGATGATGAGGCAAAAGCCACGGTGATCCCCAATACTGGTCTGTCAGCGGAAGTGACGAGTGCTACTACTGGGACAACGGACAAAGAGCAGCCATCAGAGCCCACAGGCTTCAGGGACAAAAGACCCAACACCACTACTTTCACCCACACTCGATCACTCCATTGCAAGAGGTGACTCCATTATGGAAGATGTCTTGGAGGTGGCCCAAACTCTTCATCAGCTGAGCGAGCACCGTGATGATGCCTCGAGCGAAATCAATAGGAGAATTTTCAAACTATTTCATGGTAACCATGTAGAAAGACTATCGGTCTCTACAGGGAATGGATGGTCAGATGGCTCTATATGGGTGAAAGTGCTTGATATGGGGTCGGCCAAGCAAAGAAAGGTAACCATTCTCAATATGCTGGAGTATATGGGGGCGTGGGAATGGTATGATGGCCAGATCAGAATTGCACAAAACACAGTTTTTACCAAAAAGGGTAAGCGGGTAGATCGTCGAGGGGCGGCTACACATGTGCTGGACGGCATAGAAAAGCTTGAAATAAGGAACGAAGAGCGGCCGAGATGGATCAGCGGAGTTGGACAAGTTACTGTGCATGATGAGGCGGTTCAAACGCCGAAAAATAACTCATCTAGTATCAGTAGGATGCAAGACTTGCGACGAAAACAAATTATCATGCAACTCAGCAGGTGCCAAAAGTTAACCACCCAGCTTGTCAGGGAACTAGGGATCGGAATACTATTCCATCGGAAGATCTGGTATAGTCTCATCTCAACTGAACTTTTCTAATCTGTTAACATGGGATAGGGAGTTCACCAAGATGGATACGAAAAAGTTGGACCACCTGATTCGAGACGCCAAAAGCAACTCGTGTTATATGAAATTACTTTATATTCTAAGCTCGCAATTAGAATGCCTACTCTGGAATGGTTCCCCAGATCTTGACAAATTTTACACCGAGCTACAGGAAGAGGAACTACTTGCAGAAAACGAGCTCGAAGAGCTGCAAGGCACCTTTTCTATGCAGCATGTAAGTGCGGCTTATCAGTTCGTGAGCTTGCACTAACCTACTTCATCTAGGGAAACTTACTGCATGGCAAAATAACCATGGAAATTGATGACTTGATTCAGAGGGTTCGAAGCAACATTCTGGCCGGGTCCAAGCCTGGCTACGAAGGTTTTACTGTGAGTGGAAGTGTGGAGTTGTCATGCGATGTGTTCCAGCGGTTTCATCCAGGTAAGTGGCTAGATGCCTGGGCTATCTTGGCAGCTATGCACATATCGGATAAGCCAGCAAATGTCACATACAATATGAGCATTCCTTTGGATGCGAATAAGAACAACCAGATTCAGCAGATTGAGAAACCATTGTCACGATGGGCAAAGACGATCGAAAAGCACAAACAGACCTTGGGTTCAGCGCCTCTTGTTCATTTTTGCCCAATAAATCATCGGAACAATCATTTTACGCTACTCGAACTTAATGAGAAGGAGAAGATCATACGTCACTACGACTCTATGGCAAATCCAGATCCCGTCAAAGGCATCAAGGAGACCCGTCTCTCAAAACTAGTCCAAGAGGAATTCGGCAGCCTAGGGTTCTCCTATCTAGAGGCAGTGAGTTATAGACTCTTTTCCTTAATTTCTTGATGGCCAGATTGAGTAACATGATTGCAGCCTACTTCCCAGCAAAGTGACAACTGGAGCTGTGGCATCCGAGTTGTCTGGAACTTCCGGCAATTATCTAATGACCTTTTGATTGGATCATGGGATACAGTGTTGAGTCCGGAATCTATGGCACTAGAAGTTGTGAATGGGTTGATCACTTGCGTTGAGGAGAATACTATTAAGAAGTGTAGATAAATATCTCTTTGGAGTTTCTATAATTGGGTTGAAGTTTCGCTGGAGTTGGTTTCAGTTCATCAAGCTCTGTCTGTTTAATAGGTAAACCGCAATTATCCGTTGACCAGCAAGACCGATTGGGCCAAATTTCGTATCTATTTCCTATTTGAGCAGCCACCTCTTTTAAAATAAATGTCCAGGGTACAATAGATCATCTACTCGCAGCTTGTTTAATATATTCTTCATAAAAACCACACTTACCCGTAAAACTCGAAAGCACCGTTATAATATTGCGTTCACGTCCAATGGAGCCAAAATATATGTATATCATTTCACTCTATGAACCTTTGGAGCAACTGCTGTGTTTGCAGGAAAAAGCTAGTCTGCCTCTTATACTTGGGTCTTGAATTGAGGTGGTGAATAAAGTCTCCGGCGGTCGTATTGTGTGGTTCTTGTGGCGCACCTCTTAAGATGTTTCCGTAAAGTCTAGCACACTTTTTGCTAACAGCGGCCATTGCCGAGGGCAGTGCTTTCACACGCCAAGAAAGGTCTGCCGATTTAGCTAGAGTCGCTATCGCGGTATGAGATGATCTTATAATTAAATTTAAGTATAGACTGCCATGTGGTTTTCAATTTCCAGAGTAAGATGCCAACATACCATTATTATTTGATATCAAAGGCGTGGCCTTCACTCTGCGCACCTTTTTGTGGTCGCAGAGGTGCGCAGAGCATAAAAAGTGGGCCTTGATTTGCGCACCTTTTCATAGTCGCAGTAGCTTGCATGACATGAAAATGAACGTGCGAAGGTATAGAGCATGCTCTTCCAAACGGAATAGCCCTCCAAACGCAGCAGTTCTCCAAGCGGAATAGCCCTCCAAATGCAGTAGTCCTCCAAATGGAATAGTCCTTCAAATGGAATAGTCTTCCAAACGGAATAGCCTTCCGAACGCAGTAGCCCTCCAAACGCAGTAGCCCTCCAAACGCAGTAGTCCTCCGAACGCAGTAGCCCTCCAAGCGGAATAGCCCTCCAAATGGAATAGTCTTCCACACGCAATAGTCTTCCAAATGCAATAGTCCTCCAAATGCAGTAGTCCTCCAGACGCAATAGTCTTCCAAATGCAATAGTTTTCCAAACGCAGTAGTCCTCCAGACGGAATAGTTTTCCAAACGCAATAACCATCCGGACGCAGTAGTCCTCCCAACACAGCGGTTTCCTCATGGCTACTAACACTCTCAATCCATACAATCACTAGCAGTTCATTCGGACATAATAATCCTCCGTTCCTATTAATATCTTACAAATAGAGCACTCAAAAACTTATAACCAGGACAAGAAAATCATTCAGGTGCGCGAATATGGTGGTAACAGTATTCTATATATTGGTTTTTTGCCCCTCGTCCCGACAGTTCAGAGGCTTGTTGTTATTAGTAGCTTCGCTCAAAACAGGGCTATAACTAACTACTAGTCATCACCACTCCATGTTTCGGACACCGGACGCAGGACGCAGGTTGAGGACAGAAGCTGGGGTGTTGTCGCAACAGGCTTTCCCTTAGTTGACAAGATAATTTTCTGTACTCATTAAGGCTGCTAATCATAAGTATAATATTTTTAGTCCATCTTATCGTTCACTATGCTACACAGAATCAGGGCGCGTTGGAGGCAAATAGCTCGGCGCTTATATAAAATCCCGTCAATAACGTAATCAACCACCGAGCGACGAATACCACCGAGCGACGAATTTTTACCCCATCCACTACAACTTGTGGTATTTTAACCACCAACACCATTGAATTCGACTAAATAATTATATGAAATGATAGCTATTTACTAGGGCAATTTCGTATAGTATGTCCAATTATCCCACAGCCACTGCAGCGTTGCGGAGCTCGTCGACGAGGTACAGGAGTAGATTGCTCGGGTTGCTCATTAACCTGCGTATCAAGCTGCTGAACGCGATTTTGGCCTTCCTGAATAGATAGAAGGACATCATTCCCTATTAGAGCACGCCTTCTTGACTTTTTTTTATATTTTCGCTCATTTTCGGCTCGTAAATTCTTGATTTCTTGCTGTAAAAGAAGGTTGGTATGCATTGTCATCTGTGCAGCTTTCTCAAGATGCTGAATATGAGCAATTGGACTGCTAGAAAGCTTTCTCTTAGCACTAAGACTGTTCTGTAGACTGCGTATCTTTCGATCTAGCTGGCGGGTATTCTGTGGAGTCTGAAAAGCAGAGGAAATCGACCCTTCAGCTAGTAGGGGTGGTGTAGGTGTCCGAAGTTGAAAAGTAATTTTTGTAAGAACTCGTTCTTGACTTAGTGGTCTAAGTCCTGCTCCTGCAAATCCACTGCATATATTACTCGTAGTAAAGACCTTTTCTCTTGCCTCTGGATATAGAGATAGAAAGTCCTCTTTATCAATATGGTTGTTGCCGGCAATCATACGGTTTTCAAGCAGTTTTCCATATGCACGTTTGAGCGGACCAAAAACACCAACATCAAGTGGTTGTAGTAGATGAGAGGCATGCGCAGGCATGCAGAGACAGATAATTGCATTCTGCTTGCAGAAATCATCAAATTCAGCAGTCAGATGGCTACTATGGCCATCTAGAATAAGCAACCGCTTAGCACCAGTCATAGAGCGTCTAGAGGATGGTTCAAACACTTCCTTTAACCAGCGAAGGCCTATCTCATCTGTTGTCCAGCCATTCTGACTAGTTGCAATCCACCAGTCTTTACTAAGCTTAGGTTCTTGAAACCAGGCAGCTTGTTGATTGCCCGCTTTAAGTATAATAACTGGTGGTATATGCACGCCTTTTGAACTGACAGTTTCAATGATTGTGACCCATTCACGGTTACCCTGAATGACTCTGCGTGGTCGCTCGCTGCGTTCTACCGCAGTAATAACTTTAGCAGTTGAGCAGAGCCCCATTGCAAAGCCAGTTTCATCAAAATTCCAGATATCATCTTCATGTATGCCGTGTTCTTGGATAGCTTTATGGACCGTTTGAAACCATGGTATTATGACCCGTGGATCCTCTTGCTTTGCACGTTGATATGTAATACGTCGGCTATATTGAGTTGATAGCTGAGGATGGCGTTTGGTAAATTTGTAGGCCCAATTGATACCCAGAACTATAGTAGGATCCTGTAGACGCTCATAAAGTAGTAATTGGGCCATTGCACGCATAAACTCCGGTCGGATTGGAAATCCTCGTTTGTCTGCATCAAGAAGCTGCTTCACAAGAGATTCCTCTTCAAATTCAGTCAATTTATGTCCATTGGCGCGTACTTCGCCGCGTGATTGTCTTCCTTTGAGGCGAGCGCGTAGAGTTGCTTCAGACACGTTAAAAGTATCTGCAGCCTTCAATATTGATTTAATTGTCTTGTTTTTATAAGCCGAGATAGCCATCTGCATTCTGCTTTCTTGAGATAATGGCATTTTCAATGGTAGTGGTGGAAATTGACGCGTTGGAAAGAGGTTGTAGTGGATGGGGTAAAAATTCGTCGCTCGGTGGTATTCGTCGCTCGGTGGTTGATTACGTTATTGACATCTCTACATTGAGAACCATCAACGTTACGCCTCTACGTTGGAACCCTGTCAATGTTGACACTTCTACGTTGAAACCCCATAATGTCGACGTTTCTGCACCAAAGCATTGTTAATATCATAATTAGTATAATAGTGTCACTGGTTGTTATGAATCCACGTAATCTAAGGAAGCAGAAATCGTCACTAGTATAATATGCTATGCTATTTATCGTACTAGCGGACCAGTTCCATCTCCCGCGCTGCTATTAAGTAGATCAAAACAACAGTATTCCCTATACATGGAAATTCTGACTGCGATTGAGGACATCAGTCTGCGAAACACTCGTGGTTCGTCAAACCCTGGTCACATCTATAGGTTATATCCTGTATATGATTTAGGAGTCAGAAACACGGTCACTAAAACTTAAATAACGAGTGTTCGAACCGAAAATATTAGATTGCCTTGCAAAGTATTGGAGCCCTATTTCTCCGTACCTAACGGTGCTTAGTCTCTGATATAGGGTGCTGGCTTTCAGCATCCAGTTTCTGTTGAGTTGCCAAATTATCCTGGTCTCTTATACCGGTGTTCTGATCAATTATCTGGTCTGGAGTAGGGTAGTACGTGGTCTGATAAAGTTAGTTATTGAAGAGGGTGGTTATATCTAGGGCTTATACTAATTGGGACCCCATAAATGCCCAAAATCCTGAAGCATCGGCAGAAAAGATGTATACTCGACCAGTCTCCCTGATGCGTATGCCTAAGCAAACATCGGCATCGCACATCTTACTATACTCAGAAGATTTCTTAATCAAGCTGATTCTGCGACGATCTCGCTTCTGGCGAATCGACTTCCTTGTCTTTGAACCCTGGGGTGGATTTGGATTCGGCGTGTTCCTTCTCGAGGACATTATCACTTGTAAGTGAAGATCTGGAATTCATCTGGGAAGTCTGCCGGACGGGATATTTATATTCGAAAGAGCTAATGCTATATTTGTGCAAAAGTTCAAATGCACATTCTGTTAGCGCCGGTGGACCACGATTACTAAAGTCCAGGCTTTCAAAAGCGGTGCGCTTGAATTTAGCCCCTATTATAGCATGTTTATCTCATATCGAACGGCATAGATATTCAAAATTGTCAACGTGTCTGTTACACCGCGCACCCTTTTAGTGTCGCAAGTGTGCCAAGACTAACGGGTCTGTGGCCCATAGTCCCTGGCATCATGAGCGGGGTGTACCCTGCGCACCTTTTTAGGGGTTACAAGAGAGGCACTTTTTTTTGCTCAGGCATTATACTTCTTTTTAGTGTAAGGCTACGAATAATCAACCCCTCAGATTTATACGCTGTTGTCTTGATATGGAAATGAGTTGGCCTTAACTTTCACAATACAAAATGCAGTGGCGACATGGTTTATAAGGCACCCAGTTCTATTTTAAGCCCCCAAGTTTCCCTTGTCAATAATGTCACAATGATCACCAAACGGTCAAAATACCTGTGTGCGGGCATGGAAAATCAACGAGGGCCTATGCCAATGGATAGAGTCCGCGCTGTCCTCGGCTACCGTCGTTATCCACCTTTTAGTGAGGGAAACGGTCCACTGACACATAAGGGTGAAGGGGTAAAAGAATTACAAATAGTTAGTACAAACATAGTTTGGTTTCGCGTGGTTGACTATTCACGAAATGTTGTCCTCAAGCTACGGAACCAAACTCCAAGTCCATGTAAGAGAATGATGCCGTCAAAGACAGCGAGTGGCGGGCGGACTTCATTCTGATCTAGACTAGTACATTTGAAGTAATCGTCTGCGGAATGCGGGTACCCACCGCAGTGCACCACCGCAGCTAACCGTGTACCTGAGGCTCAGGGCAATGCACATGTCATTACCCCTCTTAGCTGGCCGTCTATTCCAAGTCTGGGCTCTCACAGTATATTTCCTCACAAGAGGGTCCTCACAAGAAGGGTTCTCTCTCAAAACAGTTTTCTTAATCTAATGATCATAAAATAGTGTTCATATCCCATATTACGACACAAATAATGCTTCCTATTTCGTTCCTTGCCATGGGAAACCCTACTCATGGCCGTATGAGCAATATTCATGAATGAGCCCTAAGCCGAGCCACCGTCTGCGGATCAAATATGAAAGGCTGCTCATGGCTCTGGGCAGCATAGAACTGCCGTCAGAACAGGACTGCCGTCAAAACAGGACTGTGGTCAGAACAGGACTGCCGTCAAAATAGGACTGCTGTCAGAACAGGACTGCCGTCAAAACGGGACTGCCGTCAAAACGGGACTGCCGTCAAAACAAGACTGCCGTCAAAACGGGACTACTGTCAGTAGCCGTGTTTACAGCAATTTGACACTGTTACTAATTCCAATTTCAAAGAAGTAAAGTACCGTCACACCTCAATGTCTAAGTATCACTATCTATATTGTCCGTTGCGCTCACCCAAGTACATGAGTGCAAAGAAACTAGGGCCCGGATGACGCTGTCTCGTGTAGATTGATCCGACGGGCTCGCCATAACAAGGATGCCAGATCGATTTCGGACTGAAACTATCTTATGCTGCAACTCGAAAAGGGCAGTAACCACCTCGATTGCATCAGTAGGGTCTTCGTGGAGCATCAGGACGGGAAGAGGCACAAGCAGGAATGCCACAGGTTAATACATCGCCAAGTCCAGTGCCTTCGGGGCCTCATCCTAAGTGGGATTTAACAGAAATCAGCTACCGACCCATTTCCCATATTAAGATCACTATACCTATACTGTCCGTTGTGCTCGCACAACTCTCCAGATGCAAGGAACCTAGACGTCGGATGGCGCTGTCTCATGTCTATTGGCTTCCTCCGGGTCACAGGCAATTGCTTTGTCACTAGGACTTTTCAACTGAGTTCTGTCTATATACCTGGCAGCTAAATCTTCCCACTCTATTCGTTGCGGTTTTGGGTAATATACTGCCTATACATAGTTAGTTAGAAAACATACTAGGATAGACCTCGGGATAGAATCATACCAGTTCCTCTTGCGAGGGGTTCCATTGGCTGTCGGAGTTGAAAACCGAGATCTGTCCATTGTGTTTTAACCGAACCATCAATATGATGTCCGCGTCACACACCTTGCAGAACTCGAACGACTTTAGGAACAGGTTGTTTTTCCGGCGGGTTCGCTGCTGGCGTTTTGACTTAAGACCCTCACTCCTCCGATGTTGGATCTTTCTCGGTTTTGTCGCCATGTTTTATACGTTCAGTGGCCTCGGGCTTCACGGACAGGAGAAAAGCTGGGTTTAAGTATTCGTGCCAAGCGTTCATGTGGTCATTATGCTTTCTTCGTTTTCAAACTGGAGTAGCCGGTGGTATACCAGGTGCCTGCGACCACCGGTGACCACCGGCGACCACAGCGACCAGCAGCGGCATCTTTTTATCACTGCAAACATTTTCTCTCATCCTATGCTTCTGCTGGAGGACGCTGAACGAATAAGGCCCACAAGCCTAAAGTATCGCGATAGAATCATATAGGTCAGGTCCTTTTGAAGAATTCAAACGCAAAATGCCTGCAAGTTTAAACGCGTCGCGGGGTTGTGCGTACCGGATTATAGAATATTATAAGACAGCGGCATCGAGAATAAAACCTGGGGGGGGTGTGAGTGCCATCGAGTATGAGTCATTGTGGCAGTGGAGGCAACAACGTTTCAGATTCGATAATCAATCTCCAAGGGCAGCCACTGAACACTAAACGATGCCAGGAACGCAGCGTACAACTCAAAAAGGGTGCGTAGTGAGTATGCGCCAGAATGTACAGTGGCCGCACCTAGACCAACAGGGTAAAGTGGTCGCCAATTATCGTCAGTAGAAGCCAGTGATTGCCAGTAGAAGCCAGTGATCGTCAGTAGAAGCCAGTGATCGTCAGTAGAAGCCAGTGATCATCGCTATTTGCCAGTGATCTCCGGAGGGGTTGTGTTTCGGACACCGGACGCAGGACGCAGGTTAAGGACATGGGGTGTTGTCGCAATACTTAATTAAGATAAAGAATTGCGTCCCTTCAATCCCGGCCTAGAAGTTACCAGTATTCGCAAGCCGCAAGGCCTTGGCGGTCTGCCGCATCAATGAACCCACCTCACTCGGCATGTTGCAATGAAGTGTCTTTAAATTATTTTCTCTCTCATTTCTTTTTAATTTGAATAAAACCAGTCCGTGTCTTACATTGGTGGGTTGGGCCCTGAGGGGCCATCACTCCCACTCGGGACCACTTATGATAAATATTATTTCCTCGTAGTGTAGTTAAAGGGCTTTTCTCACAAATACAATGTACTTTACATAATACCCCATTACCCTAATGGGCCAGACGACGAGCGATGATAGGCTACATGCTAGAGTAAAATCTACTATGGCAGAGAACGCGGTCAGTAGTCCAGTAGTGTCTTCCACGCGTAGTTTAACGACTGAAGAGGTCTTATACGAGTAACGTTCGCCGGTCGGCGTCTTTGAGACCAAGTAGGTCCTGAGACCACGGTCGCAGGGCCCGCACGGTCTGTGGCTCGACGGCTAGGGCCCTGGGCCTTAGGTCATTGGGTTTCTGTCTGTGGATCCAACACCCGGGCCGCAGGTAGAAGTGCCTCGGACATTGGCCCTAAACCATGGCGCCTTTGACCTTACCGGGGCTAAAACAGAGGACTGGTGATCGTCTGTGTTCCCTGACCGTGGACTTGTGCCGTTCACGGATCGAGAGCTCTAGTGGCCATGAGTCATACGGCATCCGACCGGTCATGTGTCCAAGCCAGCAAAATGTAGGTGGCGTTTCATTTAATTAGACCAGTTACGTTGATCGAGCACTTCCACTGATGGACAATTTTTGAAGATTGACCGACTTTCATAACAGCAGATATCAGTTGCGTGGGTTTGGAATAACACAAGGTAAGCATGCGCCCCACATAACTTTCGAGATCATTCCATGGAAACATTTCTTTTCGTGTCCATGGGATTCTCTTCCGTGTTCCATAAATAGGGCCTCCAGTCCCGTCTTTCATTGCTTATGGTTACAATGCCCAACGGCTGCACCCAACGGACAGCTATGGGCGAGTGTGTCACCTCTGTAGCTAACCACTTATACGAATCGGCATGGGACGACCCTTCACAGAATGTGGCCGATGAAGAAATCCAGCTGGCTGGAAATTTCCTAGCGGACACTGTCAGTATCGAGGGGCCCTTGGACGACAATGTTGGTATGACGGATCGTGTAACACTGGAGCTGGGCCCCGGCGCCCAGCAACAAAAGGACCCAAGTAAGGATTGTACAATTGCTCCATGATTGATCGAAAGCGTGCCATTCTGACCGCATATCCAAACTGGTAGACGTACACCCCGGTCCCGATATCCATCCCCCGTTACCTGTTACTGCACCGAATACGGTCGCGCCTCCCCCGCTTGCCCAAGTCTTATACCATGTGAAACGGGAGGGTGTTCGTGATTTCTGCCCAACTCCAGTTGAGGGTGCCATACCATGGAAGGAACTAGTACAGGTCCCGTATGCATCCTTAGACGTCTGGTCAATCCGTCTCGGGGACATTGTCACCGTTTGCCAAGGGGAACAGCCTGATGGGTATGCGAAAGTGTCGGATCTGAGAAGTTTAGAGAATGGGCGCTACATGGTGACATATACATGGCTATACACGAGAGAGGAAATTATGGCCGAGTTTCAAACAGAGGATGGCTTCCCACCGCATCTCCGTAAGAACCTGGAACAAAGGTGGCCAGAAGACGCCCATTACCACTACATGATCAGTACCAACCGGACGATCACGCTCTGGGATACGGCAGTCTCGCTTGCTCCAGAGGAGGTGGTCTCGAGGGTATGCTACAGCTCCATTTACAGCACAACGCCGACAAAGCGTTGGATCTGGAGTGTGGAGAACCCTGGTTTCCGGTGGATGAGGAAGATTCTCGCCCTGTAGACACTACCAGAGGAAATAATCACATAGTCTAGCTGCTATAGACAAAGATCCTTTGTAATTTATTTTAATATACCACATCGGACCTTTTCTGTCGACGTATCTTTGACGGGGGAAGCAGACATTTGAGATGGGTTGAATACAGGTGGTCTTGCGGCACAGCGTCCCCTTGCGTTCCACAAGGGCATTGCTCTGGTATCTCCTGTACATAAAGATCCCAAATACGTCGCATAGCCGTGCGCCAGTACCGGTGCGAAGAGGCCCAGGTTGCAAGGCGAGGTTCAGCATCCATCCAAGCCCGGATCGCCCGGTCAAACTGGCCATGCGCTAAAGATACATCCAAGCAACGAGAAAACCAATCCCAGCAGACTTCGCGAGCCTGCGGTGTGAGCATACCCTCCAAGCCGCTTGCAATGTAAGCACTAATGGCACCGATGGATATAGACGTTGTAAAATCCCTCGCAATGAGAAAACCACCCTGCAATGTAAAAGTGGCATGAATGCATCCAGCGGGGATGTACAATGACTGAGCGACAGTGGTCTCCACCATGATTCCCCCCTCTAGTCGGTGCATGATCCGCGCCAGCTTACCTCTCTGACCGTCCACCGTCCTCATTGCAACCAAGTTGTTTCGAGACGGGGGATACAGGAGCCAGATCTTCCGGCAGTTACCCACAAGTGCTGAGACTCCGTCTGCGCCATAATCTTTACACGGTATTAGCTCGGAAGACTCGCATGAGATAGACAAACTTTACCAATATGGAGGTCAACGAAGGAAAACTTCGGTGTCAGGTTGATCTGGACGTTAGATTCTTCCATGGGCTCCGCGACCGTGCACAAGTCGGAAGGACAGCGGAACCCAAGCTCGGCCAGAATCGGTAGTCGCAATCCGGTGAGAAATACGGGTTTCAAGGGGTCCGGGTCCAAGAGTTGGGCAATAGCGATACCAGGATCCACAGACGCATCCACCTCCCCTTGATAATTGACCCGGAATGTCGATTCATCGTCCCTTTCAGGTAAGAAACGGTGTGTTATCGACTGTAGCGTTTCACACACCATCTCACGGAGGGATGGGGAGCGGTTGGACCAGCATTGGAAAGCAGGGAGAAGCACCGGAAGTGAAGCAGTAGAAGATAGCCAAATGGACTTGACGGGGGACGGAACTTGTGAGAGAGAGACGTGGACATGTATCAAGTCATTAAAGGCCACACCGAATAAAGCGCTGATCCTTTCTGCCATTCCCTCCACGGTCTGAGCTGGCGCGGCGGCACAACTAATATCGCATTCCTCTATTATCGGGGAGTGTTGAGGAGAAAATGGAGCTGGTTCGAGGGATAGGAGGGCATAGCCGGGTTCACTGGTCTTTTGGTGAGAAGATGTCGACAGGAGACGACAACGGCCATACCTGATACCTCTCACCCCAGCTCGTTCGGTTTCAACCATGATGTTTTTATCTCTGTAAAAGGATGATCTTAAATGCTTGCGTAGCCGACTGGCGTTTGAACATGTTTTCGCGCAATAGGGGCAGATCCGCATACAAGATGACACACGAAGAACGGCGTTTTGTCGAGGCCAGCTCTGGTAGATGCCACGATGGCCAGTACAGCTGCAGCTGGGTGTTATCATCGAAGGTTATGCTAAACTGATACCCTTAGGGAGTAGGTGTATTGGGATCAAGCTTAACGTAGTAAAAGCGAATAGGGGGTGAAAAGGGACGAATGGGGACGAATGGGGACGAATGGGGACGATTACGAAAGGAGACCGGAAAGAATGTTTGTCCGGGCAGATATTCGAATATCACTGGCGCTGATTTTTTTATTTTTACCTTCTTCCACTTGACTGCCGTTATCTGCCTGGTCTGTCAGCAACATACCATGCCTTAATGAACCAGTCCTACGAAGTTGAATAATTATGGCTGCGACTTGATCTGATAGGTATAGTAGTCTTAATATTTAGGCGACTTTATATCGGGAATATACATGGTCTGGTGTGAGCCTTTGTATCGCAAGATTTACTGGTCTATGGTGTGTTAACATCTATATATCCTTCTTTTTATCTTATACCTAATACTTTGATTGACAGATTGGAATTCTCGGGTTGCTTATCATCTTCACAATGGTAAACCCGATATTCCAGGGCCAAAACTTTCGCATTTTACGGGCACTTACATTCGTGGTGACTGGCTTGAGGATACGCCACAAGAACACAATATATTTGGCCGCTAGGAGCTTTAATGAGGGATTTCCATACTGTACACAACCGCAATAATTAACTAACATATATTGGAGACTGGCCCACGCAACCGGCTTGACGTTCTAAACGTAACAATTGCTCTCTTAACTGATCGAAATAGGCACCAAAAACCGTGCAAGCACTGATTGGTCCTTCCCACTCAAGTTTTCCATCGCGGATAGCCATGCATAACCCCTTTGTCATTCGGTTCAACACGCTGCCCAGATCATTTACGACGTGAAAAACGGCAGAGTCGAATGAGTCCGCATTTCCTTTCTGGAAATGACCCATTAACAGAAGAAGTATACCGTAAAGGGAATAGAGTTGCCAAGACTGTTCAAACTGTATAACGTCTGGCTGGTTGTTCAACCATTCTTCTGTCAGAGTTGGGAAAGATTGGATAAGGATAAACAGTATGTTGTGCAGACTCGGCCGATCACTCTGGAAGCCTACCCAATAGACCGTGCGCACCTCATCAAGGAAAAGATGTAGGTCCTGCAGGAAGAATGCTGCCTGGACTTGCCGCGGGAGTACAAGACCACAGGCCACCTCGTGGCTTGCACCAGATAGTCGTCTTTTTCCATAATTCCAGATGTGCTCAGTCGCCGTACAGACCGGTGAGAATGTTTCTGGTATATCTAGCCGTGCTAAACATATTTGGAGGAATTTTTGAGACTCTTTTGATGCGAGATTTGGTTCCTTCACAGCATATGTGGCCAGCTTTACCAACACGCTCATAGCAGAAAGCTCATGAATACCTGTACCCCTAATAGTATGATGCAAGTCCTGCATTACACGATAGGTATTTTGGAAATTCACCATAGAGACGGTGGTCAACGTCGACATGGTAAGTCGTACTCCGATTCCGGCGAGAAACTTGGATGGATCGTTGTTTTCAAGAAAGGCCGCGGATAGTTGACGACCGGGTAATTGGTATTTATGTTGGTTTATGTGGTAGCTTGCCACCCCAGATAGTCGACAGGACAAAAGTTCGACTGTTTCAAGCGCTAGGCCTGGGATGGCTTTGATAAGATCCCTGGGAGTCTGTCAGTAAATTGATATTATGCAGCTGTCTGCGGTGAACCTACTGTATATTCTCACACATCTTATTCCTCAGTAAGGAGAAGGAATGTTTGATTATGAGCCGAGACCTGGGAGGCCTAGCTATCTTTATATCCTTTTGCTTCATCCTGAGACTTTTTACAACAGAATTTAAAATACGCAAGGCTGGCAAAAACTAGGTCCTTGTAAACCAGCCTCCTTTTCTCTTGATGCCGAGTCACTCCCGATGCACGCACTAGGCCAGGAATGGCATATATTTGGTTTCAGGTAATAAACCCCTTTTTCTCCTGTTCTTCACCGTCCACTGATGAGTGGTGAACTCTGGCCAAATGGCCACACCGATCATCCCTAAGTAATATACTCTAATCCCTATGTACACATAGACTGGCCTTGCGTAATGGCGCTCCTGGCTGCTCCATGCCAGCATATGAGGATGTTTCTTTTGTCTGATCACCGGCTGTGAAATTGAGAATAAATTATTAAATTCTGCTCCAAAGATAAGTAATGTCATCTTACTGTTGCTCTCATTTTTTACCCTTCTTATTTTTTCAACCGGTTACAGCTATTGAATCAGTAAAATATATGAAGAAAGACGTCCGCTAATCCAGATGCGTATATCAAGATATTGTATTTTTGGCAAAAGTCCAGATATTAGATATTAAAGCACCTTATGGCTCTTTTAAAGATGTGTGTTAGTGACGTATCCAAGGGGCGATAGGAGGAGGATACCTTTCGTTGGAAGAACTACATTCCGCAATTCTCGAAGTAAAGTTTATCTCAGAACTGTATCAGTGAACCGAGCGAATTGTTGGTTCATCGTCTTTTTTTTTTTCGCCTAGCTATTCTAAGAAAGACGCCGCTTCAAATATTCGTGTTTCGGGCCATGTATATTCCCAGGTCATCAACCGTGGTTTTGTTGGAATGGTGGCGCGCGAAACCCTGCGACTTATTGAAGGCATTCCAACAGCATGTTCCTGTCTTTGTGCCATCTCTTTTCTTGGCCGCTTCCATGGCACGATGCCGTTGTGGTTAACTACGATAAATTTAGCCAAATGCAGATGATTCCATGGTCTTGAGAGGGTCAGCAATTGAATAGTGTCGTCCTGACTGCGGAGACGAAAGCCTTATTGGATTATATTGGGAAATATCTTCGATTAACATTTGACGAACGCGGCTTAGCTTGCCCTAGTTAACTAACTAACTAGTTAGTTAACTAACTAACCTAACGTATTCAACGGGCGAGTGGTCCTCACGGGCGAGTGGACCACCTCTGTATCCCATACTAATTCATCATCTTTTGAGCTCTAATATCTCAACCAAGCCTTAGCTAATCTATTGTATATTTCTTAAATGAGTATATTAAAGTAGATGTAATCTTAATATCTAAATATTATAGGATATATATCTATATATCTCTAGGTAAAATATATTACGTTGTATTTTTAAGTAATTTAATTAAAACTGGTATTATAGTCTATATATTTGCTTATATATAGCTATAATGTAATTATATATTCTAAGAGTATATATATAGCTGTTCTCAATATCTTATTATAATTAAGCTGATGGTGGTCGAGATATTAGAGCTCAAAAAATGATGAATTAGTATGGGATACAGAGGTGGTCCACTCGTCCGTGAGGACCACTCGCCCGTTGAATACGTTAACTAACGTAATCCACAAGCGAGCCGCGGATACAACCGAACCGCGGATCCTCAATCAAGATTCCACCCTCTTTATTCAACGCGTCATATCTTCAACACCAAATGCAATATGCCTCCTTCTAAAGAATCGCGTATTCAGATGGCTATTTCAGCTTATCAGAAGGGTCAAATTAAATCGATATTACGCGCTGCACAGATTTTTGCAATCCCTGAAAATACTCTACGCGATCGACTCCGCGGTGCAAAACCACGATCAGAAAAGCGCGCCAATGGCCATAAACTTTCTCAACTCGAAGAAGAAACTCTTCTTAAGCGATTATTAGATGCAGATACGCGAGGATTTCCGATTCGGCCCGAATTCCTACGTGAAATGGCAGAGATATTACTTCGTTCGCGTCTTCAAAACCCCACAGCAATGATTGGAGTTAATTGGTCATATAATTTTACTAAACGCCATCCTCAACTACGTACACGATACAGCAGACGGATTACATATCAACGCGCAAAACAAGAAGATCCGAAGGTTATAATACCATGGTTTCAAACTGTTCACGAGACTATCCAAGAACACGGCATACACGAAGACGATATCTGGAATTTCGATGAAACTGGCTTTGCAATGGGGCTCTGCTCAGCTGCTAAAGTTATTACTGCAGTAGAGCGTAGTGAGCGGCCACGCAGGATTATCCAGGGTAATCGTGAATGGGTCACAATCATTGAAACCGTCAGTTCAAAAGGCATACATATACCACCAATCATTATACTCAAAGCAGGCAATCAACAGGCCGCATGGTTTCAAGAACCTAAGCTTGCTAAAGACTGGTGGATTGCAACTAGTCAAAATGGCTGGACTACCGATGAAATAGGTCTTCTTTGGCTAAAGAATGTCTTTGAACCCTTTTCTAGGCGCTATATGACTGGTGCAAAGCGCTTGCTTATTCTGGATGGCCATAGTAGTCATTTGACTGCTGAATTCGATGATTTTTGCATAAAGCATGCAATAATATGTCTTTGTATGCCTGCCCACGCTTCACATCTTCTTCAACCGCTTGATGTGGGTGTTTTCGGTCCACTTAAAAAGGCGTACGGGAAGCTTCTTGAAGGACGTATGGTTGCGGGTAATAATCATATTGATAAAGAAGACTTTTTATCGCTATATCCGGACGCTCGGGCTCAAGTTTTTACTTCTACCAATATCTGCAGTGGCTTCGCAGGGGCAGGACTTAAGCCATTTGATCAAGAGCGAGTTCTTTCTAAGCTTACCTTTCAACCACGTACACCAACACCATCACTGATTGAAGGGTCAATTTCCTCTGCTTTTCAGACTCCACAGAATACTCGCCAGCTAGATCGAAAGATACGCAGTCTACAGAGCAGCCTTAATGCTAAACGAAGGCTTTCTAGTAGCCCAGTTGCTCATATTCAACATCTTGAAAAGGCTGCTCAAATGGCGATGCAAACCAACCTTCTTTTACAGCAAGAAATCAAGACTCTACGAGCCGAAAATGAGCGAAAATACAGAAAGAAAGCAAGAAGGCGTGCTCTACTAGGAGATGATACTCTTTTATCTGTACAGGAAGGCCAAAATCGCGTTCAGCAGCTGGATACGCAACTTAATGAGCAGCCTGAGGAATCTACTCCGATGCCTCGTCGACGAGCTCCTGCCCGCTGCAGTGGCTGTGGAATAATAGGACATACTATACGAAATTGCCCTAGTAAATAGCTACTTTTCCATATATTTAGTTAATCAAATTTAATGGAGTTGGTGGTTGAATAGCTTCAAATAGTGGTGGCCATGGCGAAGTATCCGCGGTTCGGTTGTATCCGCGGCTCGCTTGTGGATTACGTTAACTAATGAGTCTTAAGTTATGTAAGCGAAACGAGCAACGCGCACTCGAGTATTCGCCTCACAACCCTTTTGCCTAGATTACCAAGAGACGAACCAATCTATTTTTTTTTTCTAATGAGAGCCAAGGAGGCCGAGGCCTACGGCTAGTAGGAGTGGCTTTCGCCCGGAGAGTCTGGATATTGGGTGCCATGAGCGAAGGCTGCGTGACGTTTCCCAACACCCTATTCCGATGCAGCTAGCCATCTATCATCTCCGTGTAGGCAATTGACCACATCAGGACGTATGTGTCAAGAACACTCCAGCGCTGATCAGTATTCATGGTTGGGTTCATTTCATAACAAAACAGTTAATTTCTGGAAAACGCCACCCTCTCAGTAGACCGTGTATTTAAATGCAACTAAATCGGCTTCAAAATGTGATATGTGCACAGAAATAAACCCATCTACCTTTACTTGGTTCAGAAAAAATGGTGTCGATGATTTTTACAATGGCTAATAAGCGTCTAATATCTTGGTTAAGTCTGTATGGGACTTGAACTAATGTACGCCACCCTAACTTACAACAAAGAAACCGTGGAGGTAATTTCCTCGCTAGAGCCTGGAAAGCCTGAAAGAACTGACCGGCTGATTGTGATTAGCCTCCTCGTTTCCCTCTTGATCAAGGCAGGCCAGCGGACGTGTAGCGCATACGCCCATGCACCAACCTCCAGGTTGAAGGCCGTCCAGCACTCTCCCCTTAACAAACGTCACGTCCATGATACGAAATTAACAGACTCCACCAAAAAAAATTCAAATACCCTACACTTATAAACTTTGTGCCATGGATGGACCAAGAACAACAAAGGAAACTGTTAGCCCTGGTAATCTCGAAATCACCCTAACCAAGGAATGTGTGGCCGGCCGGAGATGACTAGAATGATTAGATCGCCTTGCTTCAATTCAACCGATCGCTCAACCGATTGGTCCAAACCAATGCGATCCCAACACGTATATCGCATTATATCGCTCGTTGAAATGATCGATTTGAAGCCTCTAAAAGTGCATATTAATATTGGCTTCAAAATCGCGTAGTTCTAGTTGAATTTCAAGTCCTTCAGTCAGTTTGAATATGGTCATATAATTGGCTGATTTTTCACCTCGCTCGGTAGACCCACCGCGTATCTGCCACGGTCTTACTCGGCGATTAACCGAAACCAATTGCCCCACATACGCTCAGCCTTCCACTTGACCCTGCAGTCAGCGTTACACTGGCTAGTTACCATTTCCGTGTGCAGCAGGCGCCTAAGCCACACAATAGCGTAAAATCCCTCTTGTCCTTAGTTCGCAAATATACCGATCTCTATCTATGACTCTAAGGTTTCCCCCATATTGATTTACACTCATACTTCTATAGTGCTAATGTGAATGGGTTAATAGTTTTAAGTATTTTCATCTTTATATTTCTTAGTGCGCGTGCCACCTAATGCAGCTGAGCGGGCAGCGGCGAGCGGTAGAATCTTCGAGCCGTGTTTCTGCGGAGCGGATTAGTTTCTAGTAGAATGTGGATGTCTGTCCACATCTTCAACGCCCGTTTCCAGAACCGGCTTTGTGCAGCGGCAATGTGAGTTTCTGCTTCTGCCATACTAATTACAACAGTGAGGAACATTCCCACAATCGCTTGAGCTCCTACCCTTTAAACCCGGTTGATGTGCCTGATTGCCTTGTCTTTGAAAGCGTGCCACTAGGCATTAGAGGCATAGTCCACCACTGGGATAACGGTCGAGTCTGATCATGAGTTTATCACTGCCGAGGGCTATTTACTCGTTCAACGATAAATATCCCCAGAATCTCATGTACAATCAGCCCTATAGTTCAACAGCCAACTCTGAGTCATTCTGCCAGTTCATTCAAGGTCGATTGTCTAGCGACCCTCACGCTGTATCCAATGCTTCATCACGATTCATGGCCTTTCTCAGCAGATTCATGTTCTGAAATGGCGTCACAGTGCAAAAATGATGCTCTACAACGCTTTTCGTCCTCTTGTGCGCCCCGTAGAATAGCTTTCATCCGATCATACAATCCTGGGTCTTCCTTCGTCCATCTCCTTCCATTAGGAAAGACCACCTTGCGAAGTCTTTTGATGCATGGAATCAGCGGCTGGTAGTACTCTGTGAAGTACTCATTCGCGGATCTTACGAAGTCCGCTTCATCCGATATCTCGCCTTTCTTCATGCCAGCCAACTCGTCCGTATCCACAAAGTTCCACTTGTCAAACCTTGCAACGACTCGTCCTTTACCTGGCCCCTCATAATGGATGCATATCCAAAAGATCACCCAGAAGAATGATTCAAGATCATGCATGAAAGAATGCTTCTCGCCCAGAAGTGAGCCAATTGCCATAAAGGCCCTCGTACCAGTCTTTCCATCTGCTCCAGAAACACCATCCCGCTTCTCTCTGATCGCCAGATCAAGGTCAATCAAGAATGATGGCCATGAAGGGTTCTCTTTATCCTCGTTTATCATGAGGTTGTTGACTGAGATATCTCGATGAAGGATCCCTGCTTGTAGCAAAGACTGATGCCCTGCAATACAGCCTTCTAACGCGGCAAGCAGGGCCTGGCGAGTGCTTGCCTTGTAAATCGGTTCCCCATAGTCACGCAGGATGACACGCCGATGGACTCGATTTGGCAATGGGTTGCTGGATGCTTTGGTAGAAGATGCCGAACAAGATCGCTTATTAGGTGGCAGAGAGGCACCTGTTTGGCTAGAAGAGCGTTTCACACCGGACCTGCCGCTGTTCCGACCCCTTCGCGGCGCATCAGCTACATCTGTACCACTCGAGAGAGCCAATCGCTTCGGTCGATAATTGCTCGCGGTCCTGATGTCCAAGCCACCTCGGACGTTATCCTGGGCATCGTCAATCTTACCATGGACACAAACCGTCGCATGATGATAATACCGTGCAACGTTGACCACCTTTCTTTCCGTGGCTTCTTGAAGAAGGGTACCTTCTTCGTCGCGTTCTGTGTATTGCCATGAATCTTTGACAACAAATGGAATCCCAGGGTCCTCCTCACGGTGCGCTTTCCAGCATGTTGTTGCTCGACCCGCGATGCAGGGTGCCCGTTTCATCAATTTCTCGAGGACGAGCCGCTCGGTCTGGCCGTTCTGCTCTATCTCGATGAAACGCCGGCCATCTTTGATGGTGATCGTAGGGTCAAATCCACATTCTGCCTGGTTCATCCATAGAAAACCAAGAGTTGTGGACACAAACTGGAGACCGTCTTCATTGATATCAAACCGATCGGATGCGACTCCTCCCAGGCGGTCAAAGACCCATATTCTCATGAGGGATCCACATAGAGTAAAACCGAGGACAAAGCGACGGGTATCTTGGGCTGCAAGGATTTCCCTGGCGTACCTCCCCAAGTCAAGCCATGCTTTGGAAGCGGTGTCGGCAGATGGATTGGCTTTCAGCTCTCCAGGTACAAGGATCTGTGACCACTGACATCGGGTATCCTTGCCAGCGTGCGTGTCGCTCACGAAGCCAATGTCTAGTTTGCGCTCTGCTGTAGAGCCATGAATAGGCTTGTTGGGTTGTGCTAGTGGCCTTCGCATATGCATCGCATTTGGATTGTGGTCGTTTGAGAGCTTGCCCAGCTTTTCGCTCAGATCCGCAAACCAAGTCAAGACATCCTCCTGATTTGCATCTTCTGGCCATCCTTTCCACCCACCAGCGAAAAGAGCATCTCTGCCTCCGGTGCATTTTTTGAACACAGCGTCGGATGCAGATTGAAGGCCACTGACAGGTCCAAAAAATTTCGAGTGGAAATGCGGGAGCCCTACGTACAGAGGCCCAAGCTCAGTCTTGAGGACTCTGTCAATATCTTGGCGATATTCGGAGGAGTTTGCGAAGCTACTCTCTTGTGAAGCCAGGGGGTTTGTTGGAGGGAGGAGGCAACCGCTCGAGGAGGGGGCGTAGATTCCGCTGCGACAACATCCACAAGATTCCATATACGTTCGTCCGTCGATGCATCCACGAGGGATGCTTTAAGAAGTGGTTTGAGTCGTTCAAGGTCGAAATCATTAGAGGCGACGGCAGAAATGAGTCGAAGCAGGTCACTCCGAATGATCCCTCCCGAATTGGAGGGCAGGAGACGAGCGGCAGGAAGGATCTGAAGGGCGGCTAGGAGGCTGGAAGCGAGATCTTGCACATCTGCACACAAGTTAGCGAAAAATAATGAGTTATGATGAGTTCCTGTGCCTCACCCTCCCGCTTGAGCTGATCTACGACCTCATCTAGTGAGCTTAGGTCTTCGCCGTAGCAGATTAAGGTAAACGTGGCACGAAAGCCGTTCAGACCATTTTCGATAGGATGCTGAGCAATTATTCTCGATCTCTCTTGACCCAACATAGCACAATCCTTGTTCTGTGGCCATGTTGACTTCGAGGAGGGTGGGCCCATAAACAGGGACGACCGGGTGAAACATGAAATCCCGAGGTCACGTGGCTCGTTTGGCTGTCAGAACCCAGAGCTCTCGGGATCGGAATATTAAAATTGCCGAAATGTGATCGGCTGATCCATATCCCCTCAAGTTCCCAGATAGTGCGTGTGATACTATGCGCGTAGTTGAATTCTAAGACCTTCATCTAGGCGGCATACTAGTCTAGGTTCCTAAAACGATCGATAGGTGCAAATTTCAAGCATGGCTGCGACTTGATTTTAGACAACCTAGCATACCGCACGTTATCACCTGACGACCGGCCCCACCTGACGACCGCTTTTTCCCATACAAAATAACCCAAGATCACTAACTTTAAAGAGCTACAGTTCAACGAAAATAAGAGATATTGAAAAGATATTTTAAATAGATAATTTGTAAGGCTAGTTCTATAAGATTATTATAAAATATATATCAAAATCGCGTTATAAATATATATATAAAAGCTAAGTTTTTAAATAATTAAAGATAACAGTCTTTATATTATAATACTAAAGGATTAGTAGATATATATATAAAGAAGATACTATTATAAAAGTAAATAATAAAAAGTACTCTAAAAATAATTTTATTTATTCTAATCTTCTATTAAAAGGCCATGTTTCTGAAATAATTTAAATTTTAATAATTATATTAAAAATATGAATTCTATTGTAATATAAAATTAATAATAAAAAAATAAAGTATTAGCTTTAAAATATAGATATTTATTTTATATATTATTATAAAAAATATTTAAAAATTTATTAATTCAATAATATTTGTTTAGTTTTCTTTTTAAAAACTATCTTTATTTTAAAAGTTTTAATTACTAGTCTATAATAAATATATTTTTAAAATTTAAATAGCGTAAAGGATTATATTTATTTTTATTATATTTATTTATATGAAAAAGTAAAAATTACTGAGTAACTATAGTTTTATTTAGATATTACTAAGTTGTATTTTATATTGTATTTTTAAGATTTTAAGATAAATAATAATTAATTTAAAATATATTTAAGAGGCCTATATTTAGAACTTTTAATTTTAATTTTTTATATTTTTATATAATTTTTAGCTCCATTAAATTATTAACTTTTTTTAATTAAATCCTCTCTAAAATAGTTTATTCATTTTTAACTATTTATAACTAATAAAGAAGATATAATATACTTTTTAATTATAATTATAATATTTATATTTAAAATACTTTAATTATAATTTAAATACTTATTATATCCCTAAATCTGTATTATATAATTAATTTTTTAATTAATTTTATTTATTTGCTATATTTTATTGTAATTTTATACTTTTTTCGATATTTTTTAAAATAATATAATATATTATTTTAATTTAAGCGTATAATACCATTATCTATTTATTAATATTAAATTTATTAATATATTATTATTAAGTTAATCTTTTAATTCTTTTCTAAAAACGCCTATATTTAACTTGAATAAAACTATATAAGAATTAGTATAAATATTATATTTTTACTATATTAAAAAGATATAATATATTCTATATCTAAATATAAAATATAAATCTAATATCTCTTATTTTCGTTGAACTGTAGCTCTTTAAAGTTAGTGATTTTGGGGTATTTTATATGGGAAAAAGCGGTCGTCAGGTGGGGCCGGTCGTCAGGTGATAAGGTGCGGTACATCGCATAGATATTCAGATCTAGTCTTGATATCCCCATTTGAATACTCTTCTCTTATTCCGCTCTTACCCCCTCAAAAAATACTTTCTTGCGTTTTGTCAAGTTTGAAGAGGAAATTATTCCATCTTCTGGATTTCAGCACATGGCCAAAAGCTCGTATTGATGATTGGGGAGAGAGGACATTCATAATCTCGAACTGCCAGTTTCGCGACCAAAGAAGCCCTCCAGGAAGAACAAAAGCAGCTACAGGAGACGGCACTAGAGCCTGAGTATATCCGAAGAAATTTTTATTTTATGGATACTCGTGTTCGTACGATCCTTCTCGAGGATAGCGAGCACGAGCTTGGACGCCGCTCCCGAAAAAAAAATAGAGATGTGATCATCGACCTAGAACATCAAGTAGAGAAAAAAAATCACGAGTGCTTATGGACGAAAATTCCCCAGCAATTATGTGTAAAGAGATAAACACATAAATGAAATGGGAAAGGGCCTCCAGCATTTGACAAGTAGAGCCCGACGCTCATGTTCGAAGGCCATGGACAACCCCAGCATGCCTCCGCAAGTGCATCTCGTGCAACGTTCCATCTCCGACGACGCAGTTGGCGGCGCATCAGTCTTTATCATTCGAGCTGGCGAAGAGGGGACTACATCGTCATTGTCGAACAGCGCAGAGTGCTTCCGTCGTCCTCGAAGAGGGCCCCCCTCCTAAAAACCGCAGTATTGTATTCCAGCAGCAACGGCTTTATTGCACCGTGTCCACTCGTCCTCTAATGAATCGGTGGTGGGCCAAGTGAAGAACGTCTCCACGAGAAGAATCTGCGCCGGTGGAACTGCAAATTCTTTCCGTAATACCTCGCGCGCGGGCTCGTCACTGACAGCTCCATCGGTCAGCTGTCTTTTAATGTCAATTACCGCCTGTTTTCGACTGAAATCACGCCATATTTCCTTCCGCCGTTTTTCCTGCAGACGCCGACGCAAATTGTGGACTTTACGCTTCTGGTCCTCCAGCATCGCTCGCAACGCTGGATCATGCAAACAGCCGTTGCACTAAAACTCTAGCTCAAACTGTTAGCGTATGGCCGATTGCAGTTCCGGGTTCTTCTCCACTAATTCTCGGTCAGCGTCGCTTAATTAGCCTGGGATACATTGAGTTGGCGATGCCGGTATCATTGCTAGACACAGACCAAGCTCCGTACACCGCAATGACTGTAGAATGTATATCTGTCTATACATAGAGGCGTGAACTATCCCGACTGTAGTATTGGGTTGCTCGGTGCATAGTCTTGCGGGCGATTATACATTCGATCAATCGAGCCTAATCCTTCACCGCCTGTTTCCACCAATCTTCGGTTCTTTGTCCTGATTGTTAAATTAAATTCTTGTGTCGCAACAGTTGCCAATGGCGCTTCTCGGTATTTATTTTCCTATTTCTGTTAATAATTTGGTAGTGTAACACGGGCCACATTGGGATGGAAATGCGTAAAATCATGCAACTCTAATGTTACCGTGATATTCTAAGGGCCTTGATCGAGCCTTCGTGACCAGATCAAGAGCAGCAGAATTTCCCCGCTCATATGCAATACGGGGTTCCTTACCCACCTCGGAAATGTGTGGCTTGCGCTACATGAAGAACAACATCGCACGGACTCGTTTCTCCGTGGAGATATTTCCCTAATATCTACATTCATAGGGACAAATTTACATTTCCACGCCCGGAAAATAAGTTCTTGGAAGAGGCCGCGCATCTGGGGAGGAAGTGCAATGCCTTTCAGCTGGGCAGGAAACCGGACAAGACGCAACATGCTTTTGGCTAGTAGCGATCGCCAGGAAAGTGCATATAGAATGATACAGGGATCGACGATTGCTTCAGCACCGTTGTCCTCACTAAACCCCTTTAGAGAACAAGGCCAGTGTGGCATATTGAGTGTAATTTAGCGGCGTCTAATTTGCTAACTATCGAGACCGGTGCAAATTGAGGTTTCCACGGATGTGTTGCGCAATAGGACAGAGATATTGCGCACTCTCAATAGATATCAACTATATTCTCGGAGGATTCATATTCTTCCTGTCCTATGTGAGTCCTCAGAGAACCCCTTTGGCACGCACTATCGCGACCCCTATGCAACCGCACAGACGGCATAAAGCTTAACTCGAGCAATTCATTGCTGGCGTTATATTGGATGTTATTAGCTTACTTCCACAACCAGTATTTTGAAGAGGCATTGAAAAGCAGTGGTCTTTTTGCTTTGAGATCCGGACCCGTTCTCCACAAAAAGCCAGTTTGTGGCCGAGGGATGATATTTGCCTACAAAAGTGGCGTTCGCTTTTTTATGTTTCTAGCATTAATATCAATGCGTTAGGAGCCCTACAATTAGAGATAGGCCGCTAAAATGAGCAGCAGACACTATCTTGGCCTACTTGTAACCATCACATAACTGCTCAAGTTGATACCTGGATATTTGGGAAATGACGCTAACTGAAGTTTTTCCGTCCAATTGTATACACTAAGACTAAGATGCGCGTTCATCAACAATTTTCCATAACCTACAAAAATTCACCATCTCAGGTCCTTGAATTTGAATTTTACAGCTGTCTGGGTAGTTCAAGAAGATTCAGATAGGCTCATATGAACTGATCGGAGCTCGTGGAAGTTGATGATTTCCGAATAACTGTGTGCGAATCGTCAGTACTCAAACCGGGAGTGCTGCTCAATAAAGATAGGGTGGACAGTGTCTCCTTGCCGTACATCATAATCTTCCAGATATCCGTAGGCAGTTCGATGTGATCAGATAATTCGCAGAGTTTCTCTGTCTCGGGCTCATCGGTAGGGTCATGATATGGCTGAAGGTACGGGTGAGACAGAGCTTCTTTTGCACAGATTCTCTTTTTGGGATCAAAAACAAGCATCGATTCAAGAAGGGACACCGCTGTAATGTATGAGGTAAAAACATAAAAAAGCTTCCTCGTGAAATCGAGTGTGCTTACCGTCTGAGCCAGCAGTTCTAAACTTGGTGGCTAAAGGTTGGCGTTCCCGGCGAGGGAGAGATTCAACAAACCGAGACGTCTGCGGCCATTAGAACAATTTAGAATTTAGCGAGTACGACGGGATGCGAAAGAGAATCGGGACTTACATCTTCACTACGGAGGGCTAGGTTCAAGTAATCTGGCGGAGTGCCGAGAAGTTCAATGATGACTGAAACTTGATCAATGGGCTCTTTTCCAAAGAATAAAGGTCTCTGTTCCAGCATCTCCCCGAAGATACACGCTACACTCCAAATGTCGAGTTGCTCATCATATATCTGCCAGGCGAACAAGGTTTCGGGGCCTCGATAAAAGCTTGCCGACTCATAAGTTGCTTGTGATAATTGGCGAGAAAAGCCAAAGTTGCAGATCTTCAGATCACCCCTTTCATTGATCAGGATATTGCTCGGTCTGAGATCAAAATGGATAACACCTGCTGAGTGGGCGTATTTCAATCCCCGCTGGAGAAAGTCAGATCAGATTCAATGGCAGTACTGATCCAAATTCACGCACAAAAATTTGGTACAAAAAATACTGAATATACTGAGGATCTAATGGCCTAAATGCTAAGAGCTCCTGTAGATCGGTTGCCATGTTCTCAGTTACCAAATAGCTATAAAATGTTAGTTAAAGATCGTGCAGGAAGCAAAAGGCTTGCGAGGTATACAGTACATATCATCTAACGGGGACAGAAAGATATCAACTAGGCCGATAATCTGTTTATGGTTAGCCTATAAAAACAACGAGACTCTGATTTTGAATAAATTGACATTTTCGTGCCGCATCTTCGTGAAAAGTCTTATTTTTCGGTAGATCTCACTCGATAAGTGCGCGGCGCAGAAAGGGTTTGGAAACTTTTCAATGACGACCAATAACCCTGTCGGTTCGTCCATTGCACAACTAAATTCACAATTTTATTGTCAGCCAGTGATTAGGATACTGCTCTGTGATCTCTGCACTTCCTAGTTAGTATGAAATAAGGAAGGTAGATTGGCCACAATACCAGGCTATACGGGTGGTGCTCCTTTCCACAAGCTCCGGGGCTTTATATCTGAGGCTATATAAGCTTCTTAATTTATTTTGCTACATCAAAAGAACACTGTACCTGTTTATGATCTGAAGGTGCTCTCGAGTACCCGAGCTTGGGCGAGGTCCAATATTCTCAGGCTTGGATAAGTAGCACAATAACACTGGATGGAAGCCTTGATAACGGGGAAGATAACGACGAAGTATTCCCTGACCACTTTGAAGGATGAACAGGTAGTAACAAGATTGAAAGTTTAGGAAATAGCTGCGGGAATTAAAGAAAAGACCCTAGGATATTTTAAACTTATAGGACCAGGACCTCCTGGTCACTAAGAGTGATGTCATTAAGCAGAGTGAAATAATCGTGATTGTTTCTGACTGCGTTGAGTGGCAACTAGTTCGCCGGTGATCTAAATAGTACGGTGCATGAGTAGTTGTGTAAGTGGCGACTTTACACTGCTTTCATAATTGTGTTTCTAATCTCACAAAGCTTTCTGGCTCACTAACATCTTCCTGACATGCCTCGCCCTGTAGTAGTCCTCTTTGGCTATTAGGATCATGGCCTATAAATCTTTCATTTGATCTTAATCAGCCGCGTTGGACTAAGAAAGAGGAGTTTCAATTTATATGTTTGTTTCCCATAGAGGCATGTTGATAGTTAAAAGATGATAGTTTGCCCTCTTCCCACGAGATCCTATCGTCCTGAACTCTCGGTCGTAAAATCTTCTAATTTTCTACCACATACCACGAAATAGAACCGCGAATAGGGTGCCTCATCGGAGGGCATATCTTGTGGGATTACCTATGGACACTTATCTATGCACCCTCAACTTAATTATTGTCTGCCGTGTGATGAAACATAGTATGCATGTATGCATGCAAGCTAGAAGCCATCACTTCCAAACAGCCACTCCCAGACATTGAATATTATTTCCCTCCCCCTAACCTTTCCCACAAAGGCTACAGGGTAACATTGATGGCTTATCAGGTATTATATGCGATCAGCAGACAATCAAAGGATATACCGATGAGTCATTCCGCCCATGTAGGGATCTTGCTTATTCCTTCATTTCCCACACCGCAGCCGGTGACGTTTTTCAGTCAGGTCCTCCGAAGATCAACCAATTATGTGACTAAAACAGATCGATCCTATCGAACTTTACTTCCATTCCCAGTAGTTGCAATATAGAGCAATTTCTAACCTTGACATGCCACGAAGAGAATGCCGTCTCTACTTCATTTCTCTTCTACGTTCGTGGCTTCCTTGCATCCTTAAGGGATATTGTCCGAAACAACGTCTCCAAAGTCTCGGTTCATTTGAATTTACTCATTGAACGCGATTTTATATCCGTTCCCACTGAATCAATAGTAAGCCTATAAATTGAGTCTCCACAAGAAATAGATGCCCACGTTAGATTATTACTACCTCATAATAGCAAGTACCTCCATCACTGATTAAACAGGGCGTTAATCGCGGTCTAGATTCAGTCGCACAGGGTTGGACTGCCTTTGCATGCAAGGCGGGGTCAATCAATTAACCAGTCGCAAGATGAGGAGGGCTAGTTCCTTTATCTACGTGTCACAAAAGAGCCCACCCTTTCACTTCCCATGGGACTTTTCAGTCCGCACAACTGTCAGTCAAAATAAATTATCTCAAATCTTGTCGAAAGGTGGCGTGGACCAGGATTTCAACCAAATAAATGTGGAGTCATTACGGCTGGATCTTGACGATCATTGGTTTTCACACTTCCTCAAAAACAGGGATTCGATCTAGGTTCTGGCCCCCCTAAGGTTTCTGTACAACGCGAGTATTTACAATACATTATGCTGGTATATTCTTCGTTGCTTACATGCTCTGGAAATGCGGTGGTCGTCGAGCCAATGTGATTCATTTAAAAAGAAAAGCCACTATACTAAAATGGCCTAACCGTTATGACGTGATTCTGTTCGACTCGATGGAATCCATAATGCGCCTGAGAAAATTGGATCATTTCCGGTCTATTCCAGCCGTTTTGATAGGGAAAAAGTTATCTGTTGGCATGAAAGCAGCTTTAGATCTGAGCGTCACTTCATACGTGACTACACCATGTCAGGTGATCGATCTGGCCAACGGTATTCTCCCTGCTCATGAGAGTCGACCTGCTCGGATTCATACCCGACAAACAAATTCCCTGTCAATCTTACTGGCCGAAGACAATGAGGTTAACCAGAAAGTAGCATTGAAGTTTCTTGAGAAACACGAACATGTAGTCACAATTGTCGAAAACGGCCAAGAGGCTCTCCAGATGGTCCAGAAAGCACGATTTGATGTGATCTTAATGGACATTCAAACGCCTGTTATGGGTGGATTTGAGTCAACAACTCTAATCCGCCAACATGAGATTCTACACGGTCTATCACGCACTCCTATTATCGCTCTTACCGCTCACGCGATGTTTGGGGATCGAGAAAAGTGCCTAGCAGCTGGGATGGATGACTATTTGTCGAAGCCGCTAAACCAAAACCAGATGATGCAGATGATTGTCAAATACAGCAATTCACTGCAGGATGCTTCTTCTGTCCGGGGATGATCTACAAAGATCAAGTCTCTCGACAGTATGATTGCAGTAAAGCATATTGATTTCTTTCTAGTTAATATTTGTTGATTTGGGATGAATCCGTTCCAGGAAATCAGAAAGAAAAGGCTTTCTGAAAACGGGATTGGGGTTTTCAGAGCTCAGTTTCAGGTTTGTTATTTTCCGAGCATATGAGTCGCACAATGGCATCCTCTGTGTGATAGTTCTTTAGTGTTATTTACATTTTGTTGCTTCCAAATTCTGTGAAATCCCACTCTCACTATACATAACAAGCAAAGGTAGTGGCATGGCTACTGATTAGAACCAATGATGCCCCGAATACCGGCAGAGGAGTGTAAAGCTTGAATATTGTCACTTGTCTGCTTGTTTACTGTAATGTAACTCTTACTACGACTAAGGTCATGTTGAAAAATCAGCCTAATCAACAGGCAGTTGAATTGGAAAAGTGTCCTGGAGGACAGCCCTTCGTCATCGTATGTACTGAAGTAAACAGTGGAAACGAACGCAGAAAGCCAACAGTCTTAAGAATTCTAAGTGCCCCTACTAGCCCTCCAGTTTATCGGCTGCACATTTTCCGTAGAGAGCTCGACGAATCCGGTTTTCCTCTGTGGGCATTACTATCCCGTCTGGACAAGGAAGAATAATCGCATTGACTCTCGAATATTTCACGTCAAATTGCTCTGCTGGAAGTCAGACAACAAATCGTACTTGTGGATAACAATGGGAAACGCACCTTCAAACCTCCTTTCCTGTATAAATCTAATATAAAGAAGTTGCTCAATAATATCCGGCTCTATGCCAGGTCTTTTAACAGTTACCAGAAAATTTTGAGCTCTGACTGTTGGATAAAGATCACATAAAAGATATACTATAAACCCGCGAAGGCCTATATTCGTTGATTTAGCAAAGGTATCACGTAAGCATGAAGGGGTATATACTTTGTATATTTAAATACTGTTGACTGCGAAAGGGAATATCGCGAGGCCACCACCGTGGTTGGCAGCCAGACTGATACCGAAACAATTTTTTCATTTCTGGATCTACACAGGACACAAAGGCAGATGCAATAGCCCTTAAGCTATTGAGAGGTATCTTGCTTAGTAATCCAATGTAGTAAGAATATGAAGGTGGGTAGTAGCATTCTGTATAACCAAGGACCTTCTTCGCGTCAAACACCTCATTGGAATCCTTGGGGTGAGATAGTGGAGTCTGAACAAGAACTTCCGAGTCTGTCGAACAAATTTAGCAAAAGCTGAGCCTGCAGTTATATCTGTGACATACCGATTCGTTTTTCTTTGAAATGCTTGATAGATCTTAAGACAGCGAGAATACCCTCGATGTTACGTTCATCATTGCCGGTCAATTCTCCCCTTGGCAGATATTGACGATCGGTGACATTTTCATCTCCCATAAGCTCTTGCGCAAAACACCAAACCAAGTACTGGCGTGATTCAGAATCATCTATGCTCAAATATACTTCAGGAAACAAAGCATATAATAGCAAAGCGCAAGCCTTTTTGGAGAGTCTTTGGACACTGTCTCCGAGAAAGAGTTTTAGGCAACAGTTTGCCCTCACCGGTGTAACTGGTAGAGTGGTTAGATCCGCTCTAGGGGCTTGTGTGGCTGACTTACCATTATACGGACAATGGGAACAAATAGGCGTGGCCATCCCAAAGCCAGAGTAAAATGCAGCGTTATGGCTACCACTAACGTGCCAATACTTGATATGTAGTCACTTTCCACGGCAACTACAGGTAAGAGGTGGCCGCTGACAGACTTAAAGTATGCTGCACGCCTGGAGATTTACTTGCATGGCTTTATAGCCATAAACGCATTTCAATACCTAGCTCGTTTTCAGCCACTTTTGTAAGTGGCTTGTACTTTCTCATCATCCCATCCAAGCCCGCTTCTGGCTGCTCGACACCGAGGGTCAACTCGAGGAGGGAGGAGAAGAAAATACGCGAGCCACCGTGTACCACTTGATAGGTCGATCTGCAGTGATTCCGTGACAACTCACGCTCAGCTGTCGTTCCTTGTACGACATACGGACTGCGTAGTAGCTTTCTGCCTACCTGTACACAGACTGAAATAAATTGTTGTTAGGAGTGGCTTCGTAATTGGTTATCCGTCAGTCTTGACACACAAAATTCGACGGACCCTAGTCGCTAATTTTGACTATGATTCTGCATCTATATGAGAAAATCTACAGCATTGCAATGCTGGAGTCCTATTAGGAATATTTTGACAGGGAGACAGATACAGTACGCCAGTTTAAGGCAGATAGTGAGTCACCACAGCTGGTTGAATTGGCTTGGACAAAAAGATGCAAAACTAAACATATGGGGCTCAGTCATCCGACTCTTTCTTAAAGGTAGAAAACGATCAAAGTGGGAGGCTGGTAAACCTAACGGTGCACTGACAGTCAATGGCAATAGTACTACAGTGGTTCCGGGAAACGGTGTCACCACCTACTCTCCTTCCTTTTCTAAGACCTCGTTCCCGAGGCATACTATTCCATATGTAGCTAAGCGGCTAGTGACATATATCCACTTATGTTTAGAGTAGACCGCTAATCCGTTCAGCTGTGGGGCATCCTATCTTGGCGTTGGGCTCTGGAAAGAAACGAAAGAGTGCAAGTGGTGACACCGTTTCCTGGAAAGGCTGTATTGTCGATATTATGATAAATAGACCAATATTATATCTTTATTTCCAAAGAGAATACCATTCAAATATTTCAGTATTTGAACCTTTTTCTCGGAGTGAAGATGTGAACTGCCTACTATGACTAGCCCAAGCCAGAAAGGACTTGTAAATCTGGTCTTGGCTCAAGACTATCATCAATTTTATCAAGTGGTAAAGGTAATTTGAAAAGAGGTTAGAGCCGCAGCGTCGAAATCTTTGCAACTATGAAATTGCAAACTTTGTTGCAATGACCCGTTAAGCGAACCTGTTAAGCAGGGGGAAGAGCTTCCTTCCCTTCTTCCCACTTTCCGTCCCATTTCCATTCGGTCAATGCAGTAACATACTTTCCACGCTGGAAATAGACCCGAATGTTCCGGTCTTGGTGGCGTCCACGACATACCGCCGCTACCTGGCTTCCTGGCACGCATGGCTGGTCAAAGTCCCCCTTGCCCCAACTCTCAGAACTGTAGGACATCTCTTTCATGCGATTACCTTGATCAACGTAATAAAGCCGGATTTCACCATCACCGAACGATGTAACAGCCAGATCGGTCCGGGGGAGAGCTTCTTTGATTGACAACTTCCCTTCTTCCCATCCTTTTTCATCTGAGAAACTCTTTTCCACGATATCCATGTGCTCATTCTGACAATAGAATCTGTGTGAACTCAGCAGCTGTTCAGACATTTCTCTCTTCGCAGATACTTACCGTATTGCAAGACTTGAAGTATGGAACGAGACACATGCCATTCCGGTCCCTGGTAGGGCTCGGCCGATGTTGGTCATCTTTGACCAAGAATTTTGTTTGTCTAGAGAAGAAGTGTCAGCATTTGAGATTTATGCACCGAGAGTCATTGTAGTCTCACCATTGCAGCCATACTCTTGAATGGTATTGTCCATCATTTGAACATACACTCGCATGTGATGTTCGGCTTCTCGAGCAAGAAAGCAGGCAGACAGCATTGAGTAAGGCGCAACCTTAATGGCAAGCTTACTAAGCTGCCCATCGTGCCATCTCCCATTTGAATCCCTGCAAACCTCCTTGACCATGTTCCCCTCGGCAATAAAAAAGACATGGATCATCTGCGGTTGATGAGAGATAGTTCAAGAAGTATAGATAGAGCTGTCTTTACCTCATCAATGTCACGGGAAATAGCTGCTATAGGAGTCCCTAAGACCCCACGGGCGATGGTCTCTTTCTCAGAGCCGCCAGACCATCTGCCATCCTCATAAGCAATTTCTCTGATACCACCGAACGTATCTTGAGTGTAGATACGACTCTTCTCGGCCGTTCTTAATGCGGCAATTGCGCATCCTGTTGAACTTAGTCAGCTAGAACATACGAGAAGGAATATTTTCCATCACTAACGGAAGCGTATCTGCTGAGCTTGGGCAAGACTCATGACGGACTGATCAATCTCTTCGCTTGTGTATTGTTTGGAAGGGTGGATGAGAGATTTTGGAGAAGAGCTGGCAAAGATTGTAGAAGACCAGGGCTTAAATAGTACGCTTCCGAGAGCACTGGGACGAGTTGAGTGCTATTTCTCCTCTCGACAATCAGACAGGTTTGTAAGAATGTTGTGCTCGCATTCGGTAAAACAGGATCTTTAGTGATTTGATACCAACTCTTTATGCTGCATTAAAATTTGGCGATGTTGTACACATGCCCGTGGCTACCTTGCGTATATCGGTGGCCGACTGATCTGTCGCTCACCGAGCATTCTGTGGAACCTACCTCGGAGTAAATCAAGAAAGTCTATTTGGATAAAACGCTAATGGATAATTGACGTGTCCAGATCCAAACTTCAGCACAGTTCGGCTACGTTATGAAAATGACTATCGCATCCTTTCGGACTTGCTACCCTTTCAGGCAACCATCGCCCATATCGGTGGCCGACTGATCCGTCGCTCACTCAGTATTCTATAGAATCCACTTTAAGGAAGAATTTATGGAGAAAGGGATGATTCAAAATCGAGTCCCATTTGTCAAGGCTCTAGTGACAATCTAGTATGACACGACAATGAAAATATTGTTGTAGAATATAGATCATCGCGTCATCATGTCTCCAAGGTCATACTATTTTACGTGAACTAGTCGTCGCAACACCTGCACTTGTATGGTTGGACCTTTATTCCGTTTATTATGCTGTAGCCCCTACCCTAGATTTCTACAGTAGTAATATGTAATGGCTGTAGTGTAGCCATACTTATATCAACAAAGAGCTCGGGTAAACTACTGAAGCAAGCAGAACGCCATATTAAATAGCAATGATTAACATTAGCAGATTAAGAAGTTCGTACGTTTATGATTGTT